TATGCCACCTTGACTCTATCTTCATGCCAAGATGCTTTCAATTATGCGAGCCGCTGGAGTGAGGCGGAGCGTGGTCCTCCGAACGATGAAAACTGGTCTATGGTTAATGTGATCCTGCTTTTACCCACAGGGATGGTTTCCAAGCTGAGAGGGGATTAGCACAACACCTCTTTTACCACCATTCACCACATCCCATGACCCCATGAGGTGGGCTGCTCAGGTGTGCAGTCTCCGCTCTGACCATGGGATCAATGCATCATCACGTCACTATCTCATGTGGAGTTTTTGCCAAAGGCCTTATTTCCTGTTGTTCCTTTCGATCAACCTCTGTGCAGCCTCTGTTAGACACACACTTCCTACCAGGCCATGGGGACAGGAAGTAGTCAATCACTCAAAGAGTTTATAACACCCATTTTTGTTATTTATTTAGTTATTTAAAGAAAACTCAAATGTATAAACACACACACTCACACACACACACACACCATATTTCTGGGTTTCAGATATATATTCTATTCAGTTATAACCTTGCGTGGTTGCTCTCAATGTGAACTTCCAATCGAAAAACACGTTCCAATTTGTTGCCTGTAGTATGTTTTGGATATTTCCAGTAGAGGGCAGCACTTCTTCAATTCTCCAGTCTGATATAACATATATAGAAAATGTTACATTCCTCTGCAGTATTTGTAAATCGACAACTTTGTAAATGACATCTGTTGTTAAAGCTATACAAAAATAAAGTTGCATTTAAACATGTGAAATGCCATATGCTCATCATACAATATTTTACACTTCATAAACTTTTTGAAAGGCACACATCTTACACATATAATCTAGTCCCAAACCCTGAAGATGCTGACAACAGAATCAACAGCAGAGGGAGGCCTTTGACTTCTGCTTGTTTGGAGCTGCTCTCTCTCCGCCGCCTCCGCCCCTCACTCTTTCCTTCCTGCTCCATGCCTGTGCTCCACCCTATAATAACGCCGCTTCATGGCTCTCATTTGGAGATGTATATATAGAAGTAATTGTCAGGGTGCAGTGTAGACTGGGCAGCTCTCACAGGGCTGGTTCAGTGTAAATCTCATGGTGGGACCGTCCCAAGAAGGGCTGTATACACATGCTCATGAACTTTCACTGCAACCTCCTCCATGCAATATACTGCACCAAGCTGATAAGGCTATACATTGCTATATTAAAAATCATTAATCTCCTTGTGTATTCATTTACACTTTCAATGGCGCTCGTAATGTGTTACCTTCACAAATAGGATGGTGTAATTACATGAATGCGGTAGAGCAGTTTTCTTATCTGTAAATATTAATGATGCCAGGTGATGACTTAAAGAACCAATTTATTGTATGCCACGGGTTTGTGTTTGATCTATTGTTGTGCACACAAATTAAATTAAACGGAATGGGGCTACACAGTAGCCATTAAAGACCTAACAATGAAGAGGATATGCAGGGCAAAAACTAAACAACTCACAAGATTTCTCCCAAAATCAAATTCCTCTCCACCTCCCAGCTGTCTGGCCCAGTGAGATGGTACACTGCCTCCCAAAAGATGATGACGACAGTGAGTGTTGTGCAGGGCACTTGTTTGTGTGATTTGCGTGGAAATGAGTGGGCTGGGTGTCCTGTGAGCTTGTATGGACAGGTCTGTCATTGAGGGTGAAGGTGCACACAGTCACCATTGTGGGGCTGTCACTGGTCCCACTCGGACAGGGCGGGGTAACACGGGGCCCCTCTGGAATAAAAACATGTGCTCCAAACAGGAAGTGGCACTCCAAGGATAAAATGAGAAAATCAAGACTACATATGTTTGCTCGTGTGACTGGAGTCTGCTTGAGATATACAGTTTTCATCACCTCGTCCTCATGGGCTGCATGGGCCCCAATCAAAAGCTACAGCAGGAAAGAGCAGTGCACCTTTATAGGAGCGCTTCCCAACTGGAGGTGCAGGGATTAGAATAAATAAATGGAATTGTAGATATGGATTGGAGCATAACAATAATAGTTAAGTACAACACTACTGTTGCTGGTGTGTAAGAATATATTACGGCAACACACAAGGTTGGGAACCACTGCTCTGTAGAGTTAGGGTCTAGTGATCAGTTGGTTGATAGACAGTTATAATACAACTGCTGCACATTTTCTTATGTTTAAGTTGTATCGGTACTTAGGCAATCCACTGTGGTGTGAACATAATTCTTTCAATAATATTATTTTATTTAGTTGGATGCATGACCTATAAAACATAGTTTTTCTTCTTCACGTTATTCAAGAATACCTTACAGAGTAAATGTCTGCCAGACCTCAGATCGTGTAAATCCTGTGTACTGTCATTCAGGGTTAAATATGAATCTAAGATAAAAGTGTCTGAGAGTGGGCTGAGCAGAACGGTGCTCTCTTTCATGTTTCTTCTTCCTGTTTGCAGAGTTCACAGACCACTTCACAGAAGCCATGTTTTCTTTCAGGGTGGACGCATGAGTCCTGAGTGAAATCAGACTTTTGTTAGAAAGACTAAATTTCCTCTCCAGACAGAGCTGATTAAGCCTCCAAACACGACACGTCTGACCCTGTGCTGATGCCGCTGGACGGCGGTGGGTAGTGTTTGGCGCAGGACTGAGTGCTGGTTCCCATGAGTGGAGTGTTTGCAGTGGACTCAGTCATCAACAAGCTTAAGAAGCTCCTCAATGGGCACAGAAGATACTAGACTTCAATGTGTTTAATATGAGCTCAGAGCTCACCACTAATAGTTCTCTATTAGAGCAGGTGGAAAGTGCACCACTGGCACCACTTCATCACCAGTGCGTAATGTGCGGCTCAGAATAAACAGGACACTTCATACGTGATACCTTGTTTTATTGATTCACAGTAATGATAAATGAATGTGATTTGTTCAAGAAATTGAGTTTTGTTCCAACTCAGCCAGTGTCTATCAACAATGTTTCTCAAGGAAAAATGTATAAGTAGACATATATATTTCATAGATGTAAAGATGCATTTTGTCAGATAGACCACAGCTTAAAGCAAGCTTACTCACATCACATATTAATCTTTAAGTCTTGATGAGGTCAGAAGTCCCTGAGAGCACCACTGTCTGAAAGAAGCACCAAGTAGATCAAAATGGGAGCACTAGAGAAAATAAAACTGGCCATAAACTAATGTTGTTCAAGGACGAACAGTAGCAGGAAAACGACAGGAAACTTAAAGGAACTGATTGTGACGTGTGACATTTACAGTCTTCAGACATGTAACATGTCAGGCCTTCACTGGTAACATTTGAACTTAACTATTTCAGGCTGATTCTCCTGTGAATGAGCCTCACATGAGTCTCTCCTTTGGGTTGCCAGTTGCAATGAGGATTCACTGATCAGAGGGTACATGCAGTTCCTTTAAGTAAATAATATAGCAAGACATTGGCACTACACAGTCATACAAAATTACAAAAATATGAATTCATCTGAAAAGCTACATTGTTCCCAAATTGGTTCATACATTTCAAAGAAACATTGGAGAACTGAGGACAAAGACAAAATATCTGCAAAAGGGATTACGGAGTTCTCCACTCATCTTTACGTCTCGCACCAACTGTGTCCTAAAAAGTGTCCATGAGTAAATTTAACAGGGCTAGCCCGTGGTAAACACATCAAACTACTGAGAAGAAAACAACACAAGTTCCATGTTGTAAAGTAAATAAGTCAGACCAGCGTTTGGGAAAAAGCTTAAAGACTTATTCAGCGAGTTATGGGAGATAGACAAGTTTGTTTTACATGTCGAGACAAACATGTTGTTTTCTGTCGGCAGCTGAAGAAGCCTGTGCTTGTGGTTTTTCACGACACCGCTGCGCTAGTAAATCTGTACATAAGGATGAGCTGGTTTCATTATTTACTTTAGTCTAAACGTGATCTTTCATTGTGTTGTGTGGTCCCAGTGTGTGTTAGCCGTGGCCTTGTCCATACATTTCCTTTATACCTCTGTAGAGTTCTTTTTAAAGCTCATTCTATATCCCAATCTGAACCATAACCTTAGCTCTAACCAAGCAGATGTAATTAAAAGCTTTATGTGCTCTGAGAGCGCAGCCCGCCTCCAGACCACAATACTGTGGTTTTGTCAAAAGCCTTCTTTCTCCCATCAGTAAAGAGCAACTCTCCGTTTAATATATAAAATAAAATACAAAATTCATAGGCAGCACTGGAAAGTTATTACAGCCCATGACCATTAGAAGTGCTTTCTGCTGTAACTTTAAAACAGCCTGAAATCTAGTAAAACAAATCTTAGACTGATGTGTACTTTGCATGTGAAACGGAGAATAAATAGTTAGACTATAAATAGCACATAGCAAAAGAAAGTGTAACAGACGTTTTACAAAAGTGAAAACATGTTAAATATCCTCGTACCTGAATAGTTATTTGTATCATGGAGACTAAAAGGTATTGGAGGTAAATTAAATACTGACTTAATAAAGTGCTTTCTTTCATGAACATTACTTGACTAAAGAACAATAGATCAAGAGTTTAGCACTTTTAAAACATTGAAAATAAAAACTGTTTTCACTCAAGGCACTTTTGGATTTGCAGTATTGAAAAAAGCACCACTACAAGTGAGTTGGATTCATACAATTGGAAAAGAGCATTTTCTTAGACTACAATTAGTGTGGATCGGCAAACGATCAACTCTGCACCCTCATCCACGGCTTTTTAGAAAAGTGAACTTTGTGATCACTATTGTCCCACAACATCTCAGTCTTCTCCAGTTCATTGTCCTTTAAATTCGCTGTCATCCACATTCGCCCAGTTTCAGTCTTTTCACTGAAATATAAACAATAAAAGCAGATTCCCCTGTTCTTCCCTCGTCAGTGCGATTCACCTCAAACAGTCCTTTCTTCATTTGGTTTTTGTTGCTTTTAATCCACATCAGAGATAATGATTCTCTGTGGACATGAGTGAACGCGAGTGTTTCCAGCTCATGGTTCTTTCCCCAAACACCACTGGACGTCCTACACATTGTTATTGTTGATTTGTCTCTGATGCTCAAACAGATCCTCCACCTCTGCACTGTATGCGTCCCCTGTGCAAACAAAGAAAGAAAACAATTAGATCTGAATCGTCCTTTTCCCCACAGTGAATAGTGTGATGCTCTCACCAACGTGGCAGCCGTACATGTACGCTCTCTGTCCGTCATATCTGCAGCGACACCTCATCACGTTGTTCATGAAGTCGGACTCAGCCATATCCATTGAGGGGTTTACCTCCACCTGTGATATAACAAATATTGGAGTCGTAAGCTTTGTAAGGAGGAAGTGTTTAGAAGTGTTAGTAAAAAACACGGGACAAAGCTTGATATTGTGTTCCGGGCTGAGGTACAATGTCACATTTTGTTGATTTTTCTTCATTTAAATTGACCATTTAAGAGTCACAAGCTGGTTATGGTTAGGGTTAAGGTTGAAGTGGTTAGGAACAGCTCATTTGGTTTACGTTAGGGTTGGGGATAAAGCTTGCAGCGGGACATAATACTAATATTTTAGGGAGTCCCATAAAAGTGGAGTATATCTGACAAAATAACAGTATTGGTTCAAGTTGTATAGTAAAACAGTAGTTATTTTCATTTTCTGTATCTGTAATGTCTGTGAAAATCAAATGAAATGGATGGATCCAACATGGTGCAGAGTGCATAAATATCTGCTGTGGTGTGCTACGTAATGATAATTGATGTATTCATTGATATTTTGTGACTTACATTATGCATTTAAGACATTGAGACTCACTGGGAGTTGAGAAATTCGACTGGGGTTTGTGTTCTGACTGTTGTGAACCGCTCACATCTCAATTTTTGCAGCTACACAGATTTCATTTTTGTGGACATTATCGCGCAGTGTTTACGTGAAAACTACGCAATACACTAGTCATACATAATGTTGTTGTGAGTTCTGCCATTGCCATGACAAATGATGTGTATTGCTGCATAACTGCTGATACAACCATTCTCTTAATCTGTCCGAGTGATAACACAGAGAAGCCTTTCACTCTAATAGCTGCTCTGTAAACTGCTACACCCACTTTAAGTACAGGTTACAAACGACAACGGGGAAAGAAAGGCAACCTGTGCTAAAAAAGAGCACGAGAAAACCTTAAAACATTTTAAATACAAAAAAAAAACTGTCTCTTAATTTTTCAAACTAAATTACAGCGTTGCAGTGAAGCGCGCGGGGCAGCAAATACGCTCACTGAGAAAGACACAGTAAAAATTAAAAACAGACCAGTGAGAATTCCTCGGTGGCAAATTAGCTGTTCCTAATGGAGAGGTGCGAGGTGGTGCTCCAGACCAGAGGAGCAGTGCTTAATTTAGGTAATGAGTGTGTTTCATTAGTGCTGGGAGGTTCAAAGGAGAGTCTTGGGGAATCTGTCTGCAACGCTGAGGATTAGAGAAGCGAGTCATCATGTGCACTTTACTAGATAAATGAAATAGCAGGCGAGCGAGCTGGAGAATCTTGTAAAAACTGTTTGTACTTTTCCAATTGCAGCCTTGATGAATGACTGTCGCTTCTTGCTTTTTCATTTTTGTTCTATCTTGGCTCGGATGCAGTGGGTCCTCACATGACCTGACCCTTCAACTTTGAGTACTTGCTTTCAGTTTCACCGTCCGACTAAATAAGCACAAGTTCACAATGTTCTACTTTATAATTACATTTAACCAGCCGTAACTATAAAATGATCAGGCAGTCGAGGCATTTATATTTGTCTTCCGATTCTATTATTAGTTGATTGAATACATTTTTATATGAGTATAGTGTGCAAGTCCAGGGTAATTACAGAACTGAATGGAGGGCGCCCTCTCAGACACACGGTGCACACTGCTGTTGCACAAGTCGCCTCCCACAGCCACAGGGAGGTAATTGGCAGTGTGCTAAGATTGAAGGACTGCTGCGTGCCACAGGGATCAGCAGTCTCAACTGGAGATAGGTATAATGGGAGGTGGTCTCATTGATGTGTTTCACTGCAGATGCCACTATGACTCGACTGATTGAGCAGGGTCAGCCTAATGACAGGCCAATGGGTGGTTGTGGTCTGTGATGACTTTGGGGAGGTCAAAACCATTTACAGAGAGGAGTGATGTCCCTTTACATAGGAACTCAGTAAATTATGTTATCGTGTCATTCAGTTAGTAAAGTGGTAAAGGATAGTGACCTGAAATATGTAATCCCCAGGGCGTACGTCGGTGACATCAACCCACTGACAGTCGATGTCATGGCGATAGGTGTCCCAGCATCCCACAGAGATGCCTTGGTCTCCCATGTTGTAGCAGGAAAACCGTTTCTGAACACCTATCATACACATACAGTAGGTTATTAAAAGGATTGGAAGAAAGGTGAGTTGTCTGATGAACACACATGTAGTGAACATACCGTCAGGGCAGTAAGTGTCTTCCAGACAGAAGCTGGCCTTGTGTCCCTCTGCAACCCTGGAGCCATTGAGCGTGAGCAGGTCATAGTGTGTGAACACCTCGATGCTGTGGTAGTGCCTGACAGAGCAGAGAGGGAAACTCCAGGTGAGAGCTGCATACTTGTGTCTGTCACTGTGTGTATTTGAGCTTCAGGAACACTGGCTGCTTATGGCTAATAGCCTAATGACCTCACTGCGAGAGCATGCGCATGGGTGTCACCGTAACACCTCTTACAGAAGCTTGTTTAAGTACAGACTTGGCTGAGCTGTTTACCTCTTTCACGTGAAAGGAAGCCTTTGAATTACATCCACAGATCTGATGTGTTTTTGTTACAAATGTTAGCGTGACCGTACCACGCATGGCCTACCCAGAAAGTTGTAAATGTGACTTGTTCAAACCAGACTGGCCTCTTGACTTTATTTCCACATGCCTGCTGCCACCACACACATCTAATGAATGCTGACAGGACTGTTATGGCCTCTTGTCGATCAATAAAACAATAGAAATATACATGTAGATATTACTGGAGGATGACCTCTGAAGAGTAAGCTCTATTTCACTTATTGCTAAGATATTATCTTGTGTATTATTAAAAACATGTTTTTGCAAATAGAGAAATCCTGTGAGGTGGAGCAGGTGCAAGTAAAAACCTATTTAGCTGTGTTGCTCAACAGACCACAGCTATTTGGACTCTAATCTAATGCGGTTTTCCCGAAGTATCTCACAGTATTTACCTGTATATAATTATTATAAGCAGCTTTCAGCCACTATGTAACTTCACACTTGCAGGTTGTACCTGTGACACTGATGCCAAGTCCAGCTCTCCTTTGAGGCTTTGGGCCTGAAGTCAGAGCGGCCCAGGTTCATGATACGGGAGGAGAAACGCAGAAGACGACGATGTCCATAAGGCCAGTTCATGCGAGCGGCCGAAGAGGACAGACAGTTTTCTTCGTTGGCACAGGTGAGCAGATGTAGCGGCCGGTCCTCCAGGTATGTGGTCTCCTGGACCAGCTGAGCATCCACCACCAGGTCAGGAGCAGCTGTGGAGACAGAGAGGTGAGCGGAGGAGCACAGGGCTCTGAGGAGCATCCTTAAAGAAGACTCGTACTTTCAGAGCAGGTGACTCCAGCCGCCTTGGTCCCGCCTCCTCTGGGACAGTGTACATGGTTGTTACGGCGACACTGCTGAATGGAGAGCTCTGTGCCCACACAGTGAGTGCCACTGAGCAGCACGTCTGCTGCAGCCGCCTCTCCGGGCCAGTACCACGTCTCCTGTTGGGACACCAGCAGAACTAGTATTAGAGGACTGAGGGAATAACTGCAACTTCAATTGAAAGAATTCAAGTAATTTAATTATGAATTGTTAATTACCAACTTGTATTTAATATAAAGTGTTTTGTATTAAATAATTAACTAAATACACTGTCATCATTTTTTAACTATATTTTTAAATAATCATGTGAGCTAATTGTCCCAGAACCTCCATTTTGGAAACCATTGTTTTATACAACCAAATGCACTTAACTGCAGTAAAATCACCCACATGTATGTGTATATAATATTATCACGACTCTACTTGTTTTTTGCATTATCTGCAGTATTAGAGTATCTGAACTGAGTTGTGCTCATGGACTGCCTCTTTCCACACTAGGGCACAGCTGATTCACACTGGGGAAAGCGAGTGGTGTGAAGTACCTCATGAGCACTGGATGCAAAGCCCAGTCCGAGCTGGCGACACACCACCATGGCTTCGTCGATGCCCCAGTTCTCGCTGCACACAGAGCCCCAGCGCTTCCTGCCTCCGACATCCATCAGAACCTCCACTCGGCCTTCAGACGGAACTCTCCCCCCAGTCAGCCGCACCTGCAACCCACAAATTACAGCTGTGACATACACTTCCTTCTCCAGTGTAATTCAACAGGGTGTGTGTAGGGATGATGTCATTTTGTACCGTATTCTCATTGCCGGTCTTAGGTACGTGACATCGTACTGAGGCGTCCTGGGCGTGTTTGAAGGTCCATGGCTGCACTTCCTGGAAGAAGCAGTCTAGAATAGATTGCTCATTCCCCATACATTGAACATTGTTCATGTGGATCGGTCCAGTGCCTGCAAAGCACAAGCCAACGGTCATTGAAAACAGGATGGACTGAGCGATGGAGTCATTTCATCATCTACAGTGTTTTTGATTATTTGACTGAATACTCTTCAGGTTGCTTTTAATAGCATAGGATTTGCTGAAGAAGAAACGTACATGAAATGAAAAATATGATTCTTGTCAAACATAATGTCATCCTTTTAAAAGTCTTAAATCTGAAGTTATTGTGCGCTATGCGTCTCCTGCATATTTCCACAATGTGCCATAATTCTGGAAGATACAACAATATGTGTGAATGAAGAACCGTTGTGGCACCATAATTACAGTACTCTAAACATACAGCAAACATAAAGCAAACAAAGGCTTGACTGTTTTCTCAAAACAAAAGACAAAAACTGAGAAAGTGGAAATGAGCTGCAGTTGAAAATCAACATAAACAAAACCACAGCGACCAGAGTCAGGGAGGATACGGATGGGTTAAATGTTGGGGACAAAATTGCAGCCTAACCAAGGCTTCGCTGTTGGCTTTGCTAGATTGCAGGTCTGGTTCCATACTGGTCACCATGCGTGGGTTTACTGAGATAAAAAAGTCATATCTCAACCACTTCCTCTTCTATCAGCTCAGCTTAGGCCACAAACGCTGCTTCCATTCCCACTGTTTAAATAATCTACTCCAACTGATGAGATCCTCACCATGAGCAATGACATACCGTACTTTAACTGTAGTTTGGGAAATCTATGAAAACCAAAATTAGCATGGCCATACGAGCGTCCAGTGTGTTTAGCTGCTTGTACTCTGGATCTATATGTAACTTCGGGTGAAATTACACAGTGAAATAACAAAGTCGACTAAGAAAGGAAATAGAAACACTATCCCTGTAATTTGGCTCAGTGATGGCAATGATGAGGGGAGTTTAGGAAGTTAGTACATGTCCTTTGAAGGTAGGTTTTCTTTCATTTCAATAGTTTATATATATGTGTATATATATATATATATAACATGAAAAGCTTGAGAAATACCAAGGTCTCAGAGAGGAGCTGGAGAGGGCCTGGAGGGTAAAGGTGACAGTAGTGCCCGTGGTGATCGGTGCACTCGGGGCAGTGACCCCGAAGCTAGAAGAGTGGTTACAGCGGATCCCCGGAACAACCTCGGACATCTCGGTCCAGAAATGTGCAGTGCTAGGAACAGCAAAGATACTGCGCAGAACCCTCAAGCTCCCAGGCCTCTGGTAGAGGACCCGAGCTTAGAGAGGGATAACCGCCCGCGGAGGGCCAAAGGTGAGTGGACAATTTTATATATATTTACACATATATACACACACATATATATATATATATATATATACAGTATATATATATACAGTATATATATATATATATTCTGTAACAAAGAAACATCCTCCTAAAGCTTTGACTTTGACAGTCAAATGGTTTCTCAAAATACTTTGGCCATGGTGTAGCTTGTAACATGTTGTCTATGCAATCAGAAGGGCTGGGCTGGGCTGGGACACAAGAAATATTTCAGAAGAAGTGTGTCCTGGATGTTAAGTCTAGACGAGTCCTACACTTGTCATAATCTGATGTTTGGTTAAATCTATTATTCTCTGTGTGCAGTCTGATGTGCATTTCTCCACATCTCATCTGATTGAGACTCTATTCAAAGCCACACTGAGATTGTCAGTCTTCCCTCAAGTCAACCGCAGATAATGTAATCACACATGCTCTCGCGTGCAGCCTATTTCCTTTTTTTGGCTAACATGAACATAGATGTGCACTTTTGAAACAACTCACTCTTTCACTGAAAGTTTGCTTCTCGAAGAGTTTAATTTCAGCTGTTTCCAACAACATATAGGCCTGTGTTTATGTGGTCTTTCAGCAGATGGAAAATTACATGTCAGTAAAATGTCACGGGCTACCATGTTACAGAAAGGAAGTTGTCAGCAGACTTTGAAGTTGGACGCTTCTCTATTACTATATGTATAGAATAAAAAGCACTTTTAATGTAAGAGGTGAGACATGATGCCCTGTGTAGAGGTGGTATTTTGTATGAGTTTGATGTGGCTAAGAAGAACTAGAGCCAGCCAGTTTCTTGATGTTAAATGTCCAGTTTTATCACTGTATTTTTACGCTGAGCCTTGATAATTAAACACCTCTACATAAGATGGCTACAATCACTTTCTAATTACAGGTACACAGAAAGTCTAAGTAAAGCCAAACCTAGTTCTTTCATTTAAGCAGCTAAGATGAAACCTCAGTGCTTAAAACCCCTCTTTGAAAGGTTCAATGGTAAATGGGGCTGAACTTACATATTCAGCAATATGTGCCATATGATCAAATGGGAGCCAAACCAGCAGACTGTCATCCCATATTTCATCCTGATCAGCATGATTAAAGACTACGCCCATGAACAAGCCAAAGGGAATCCGTTCTCACGTCTGAGGGTGGGAACGCCACTGGCCCATCTGGATTTGTACCCAAGTCTCTGACCTCAGTGAGATGAAATGAAGACGGCAACCCACAGCTCTTGAAATGTTTGCTCAATTCTAATAAGACTACATCAATGACTTAGTTTTGAGATGCCAAAGACAGCCGCTGTGGTTTCCAGAATGACAGTTCGAGAACTTTAGTGTGTGGCACCAATTACAGCTGGCAGTAAAACACTCACAAGCTGAAGCCTTATCAGATGGTACAGGCGCATGCAGGGGCAGGATAAGGAATCTACATGAAGATAGCATTTGAGCATCAACATTATCCAGTTAATCAATAAACAGTTTTTGGTGACAATAAAAGTATACAGAATTATAGATTAGAATAACTTATAATTATATATTATATATATATATATATATTATATAACGTTTTCTAATAAGATGAAGAGAGCATGTTTTCCAAAAAGTTACTGAAACAAGACTCGTTCTGTTGTATTTCTGAAAATAAAAGGTTTGGTACTCCAGCTTTAAATCCCCAGCTTCACCTTTCACATTCATTCAGTGATGTGCACTCACCTTGTCCCATAAAAGCTCCATGCAGTGCGTCTTTAGCTGCGCCAAAGCCCAGCTCTCGACAGACCACACTCGCTGCTGTTCTGTCCCACATGTGATCCACAATAGTGCCCCATTTTCCATCTCGCAGCACCTCCACACGGCCCTCACCCAGCCGGGGCCCGGCCTTCAGACGCACCGGCTACAAAACACCATTCAATTAAATCCAACACTACAAGACATGACTTTCTGATGTAACATACCACAACTGGATAGGGGGCCTGCGGTCTTCCAGATGATATCCGGGCAAACTGAGGTCCTGGGATGCAATTGACCACAGCGTGGCGTCCTTTGTTGCACGGCGCAGGACTGCGTGGGATCGAGAGCTGAGCGTGGCACTCAGACAGACTGTTCTCTGTGCCCAAACAGTGAACCTTCTCCACCCAGAAACCCTTCTTCTTTGTCATGAGGCTTAGTCTGCAGCAAGAGGCAAAGTTTTAGATAATAGAAGAAAATGACTGAATTTGAGCATGTTGCATCAAAATAAAAATACCTTGTTGAGGGATCTGAAACCTTTGTATCCCATATTTTCCTTGAACAGAAACAAAAGCAGGTGATTGTCAACAGTTCAATGAGAAAACAGGCTCACCTGTATTTAACACATGTTTTTAAACACTAATATTCTTCCTATGATCACCTGAGCTGGAGGGGTGCAGGGAAATGTGTCTTTCTTCTCCTCTAAGATCACTTCTCTGTCATCCTGTGCTTTATAGGTTTTACTTGAATATATTACCATCTGGAATGTGGCGTGTTTGCAGTCCAGTGTTTACTGTGCTCCGATTAAATGGCAAGTGAATCATAAGCCTCTGCAGTTAAGACACGAGCTTTCTGTCTGACCAAGATAAGGAGAAGTATTCCTGAGGAATGAGGGCTTAAGTAATTGGGCTCAAAATACCCAGCTGTGGACATTATTTATGAGTAATATACTATACATTGCTTTCTATCGTAGTGTTTTGTATTTAAACACAATGTGCAGACCATAGAAAAAACAGTGGAATGTTTTGTTAACCTCCAAAACCTCAGAAAGTAAAAAAAAGAACTTCAGTGATCTACTGGTCCTGTTTCTGGGAAAACAAGGTTTAACCAAACACAGACTCCAAACAAAAACTATGGACGCTCCAAACACAGAGGTATGCACAGGACAACATGCCCATGCGCTTCGTGCCAGGACTCCGACCAAAACACATCAATTACCCCAGTTCTCACATTTGAGTCCTGCAAAATACACTATTCTTTGATGTCATTGAGAGCAAGAGCCACTGAGTACAACATAGATGTTTTGGCACTTAGTTTGCCTGTCTACAATATTTAATTAACTTTGTAAACATAACTCAACGCTGCATTTGCTGTCACTTTTTAAGAAAATTCAAATTAATCCAAGGAAGCACAAATTAACAAATATTTGTGTAGACATTCCTGTAAAGCACAGCACAGACTTTGAAAACAAACTATTTCTAATGTGAATCTCCCCTGACGTCAGGAGGAAACTGCATTTATACAGTTTTATTCTACTTCTTAAGACCTCTTAAACTTGCACATGTTAACACTTATACACACAGAAATGTAAAATTCATAATTTATAGATAACAATTGAAGCCACACATGTGTAGCTAAACTTAGAGACTGACACATTGCATTGTGCTGCTCTTTATGGTCTGACTGAGACTTGTAAATGTAGATGTGTCTGCCATGTGGCCATGCAGGAGCTAATCCACACATGACACAAGCCTGTGTCTATGAGAACAGTAAAGGACTAATTCCATTCAAGAATAGACAAAAATACTCAATTATATTTGTAGAAATATCTTCACTGACTTGGTTGAAATGTGGTTAATAGAACAAGCAATGAATTTGGTACATTTGCTTAACACTACTGTGTACTCTAAATTGAGCTGCATAAAATGACTTTAAGTGAGTTTTCCAAGCCACAAAAGAGGTCGTCAGCCAGAGCAGAACATTTGAAGACGCTCAAATAAATGAAAGAGAAGGTCATTGAGGGAAATGACACAGACAGCAGACTGGGTCACACAGAGGCCTGTAAATGATAGCACCGTTCAACCAAAGTTCAGCAGAGGCCTAATTAAACATAAAACACCATTTTGGCTGAAATGACTACAGTGACAGAGGGAAACAGACAGCTGCTGACACAGCGGCACTGCTACTGTAATTGAACATCTTTCACATGAGCCGCCCTGAGACTTTGCTTGTCTGACTCTTGTTCCGAGTCTGCAGGGTACGCTCTTGTTACGCCATCCCGCTGCAGCTCAGTCTGTGCTCTCACAGTTGTAATTGAGAGAGTATTTTCACTCTCAGCAAAACCCCGGAGAGCCTCAGTCCTGACCAACATGTAATTACAGCATCTTCAGAGTCTCATCCAAGAGACACAGGGGGCAGGATTTCTAAGAATGGACTCTGGGTAAAGTTTGAGGAGTGGGCTCAGGGAAAAACAGGCCGACATATATCACTTGAGATGCCTAACATTCAGTTATTACACAATTTCTAAATTATTTACTACATTTACTGATCCCATTTCAAGGGACTAACTTTCTGCCAGTGCAATGTCTGGAAGAATGGAACCGGATAGACCAGGAAGAGTAAAACATGTCCCAAACCAATGTCAGCAAACAAGGTTGGAAAATGTAGTGGTTTGCATTACCTAAACCTAGGAGAAACTAGATGCTCTGAAAAGAAGCTGTTGTTTCCAGGTTGCAAAACAACAAACAGCGTCTTTGAAATACAAAACAGGTACAGTTTTGGAAGCAAACAAATCATCATGGTTGGGACCAGTATAGCTCCTGAGGCCACAGCAAAACATCAGGTCACCTCAGCACAGCAGCCCAAACGAATCAAGTCACCGCCACTTCAGCCTTATAATTTACACACGATACAGACCCACGCTCCAACTATAGCACGTCATATCATATTCACCAACTACACAAACAAGGGCTTCTGATGTGGGGACGGAGTGCTGGACTTCTAAAATAATCATGTCACTGACGCATCTCTATTTCTTTATATTTTGAAGACAACCAGGTGTTGCCACGAGTGCTGAGGTGACTATCTGCACAAAGTGCATGAGTTTTAGTTGTTTTTTTTTCAGAATATGTCTATGGTTGTAACTGAGTAACTGAAAGAAATAATACCACAAGAGAACTGAATTTAAAAAAAACTCTTCAATATATATTTCTGTGACCATGGGTAATTTGTCTTGTTTGAACAACAACTATTTTTTATTTATTTTATTTTTATTTAACCTTAATTTAACCAGGAAAATGGTTTAAGAAATTTTTTGATCTGCTTTTGGCTTTACAAAAATAAGATGATTAAAAAGTGACACAACAAGAGTTTGAAACCCTACAGCCGCAGGCGTCCCACTGTGGCACCTGGTGTTCTCCTCTCAGGAGTCACCAGGCCCTGTTGTCCTGCTTAGCTTCTGAGCTCATCTGGGATCCGGCTGTCACCCACAGGTGGTGCCATAATTATAAATGCCAAGTTATAGAACATGCAAAAAAACACTGCATATGTTAGATATTGTGAAATTGTCTTAAATACTGTATGTATTTGGATATAAAACTATATAAAACATAAAAATAGCTAAAAGTCAACTAATGAAAACAATAATTACTGACTATACAAATACTCAAATGTAACTCGCAGGTCTAATGCAAAACAGTGGAACATCACAGTCAATAACATCTCAGTTGAAACAGGTTACGCTGAGCAAGAGGCTGCAGTGCTAATAATTAAAAAAAAGAATCATAAAGAGCACCAAGGCGCACAGCCAAAAGTAAGATAAATGATCCAGTTCAGGTGACGTCCTGAGCCAGAGTGCGGCACCTGTTCTTTTACGGTCTAAAATATGACTCCTGCTGATGCCTGCCTTCTACTGCGGAATCCAGTTAAAGCATTGCTGTGCTCCCAATAACAACCAGACCAGCGGTGACATTTCTATTCAAGGGCAAAGCTACGCGTGATTGAGAACTTCAATATGGCCTCTGTATACAATCTATAAAAAGTTAGAAAAGTCTATAAAACAAATACGCCATATAGAGCATCCGCAGTTACGGCCTTGAATTTCCAAGAGGAATCTCGCACCCAAGAACAGGGCTCATGTTGTGGTTTGTCAGCAGCTGAGTCACATTGAGCGGGGGCCAAAATGTGCTCTGTGAATCACCTACAGCAGCTATGGCCCCGGGGCAGGCTTCAGCTGGGACGGGCTTCACCACTGGGGCAAACGGTCACATCGTGGGTAATGACTCTGGAGTAACTCTGTGCTAATGTGTGGTCCTAATGCGGTCGAGGAGCAGAACCTTCCCAAACCCACACTTTCTTTTTCAGCACGAGGAGTGGAAGTGAAGGCATGTGTTGGGGAAATAGACTGGCAATTACATCACTGCTACCTCTAGGTATGGCAGGGAACGGAAGAATCCTTAGTGAGAGCTGGTAAAGGTAAAGGTGCACTTTGTTGATCCCCGTAGGGCAATTCCTCCTCTGCATTTGACCCATCCTGATGCCGCTAAGGCATCAGGATGGGTGCCTTAGCAGCATGTTTTTAGTGGTAGGGGAAACCGGAGTACCAGGAGGAAACCTACGCAAGCACATAGCTGTATACTGCATACAACTATGAATCATGAATACGTATATGGATTTGAGATATTTTACTATACTTGAGTACAACTGTAATTGTTATTGGAAGCTAAGTCATTCCTCCAACTTTGCTATGGACATTTTCAAGAATAGTTTGACGTCTGCATTCTATTGTCTTTCAGTTGGAGGGCAGGCACCAACAACTATACAGGACTTTTTTTTTAAGAAATTTTGAAAAATAAAATGTCAAAATGTTTTCACAGATTATTATTTAATATCTATTTTATTAGTAAACCTGACATATTATGTTTATGTCTGAAAGCCAACATGATGTACAGTTTATGTTTTAGAATATTGTCATCACTTCTAGACACCTGTCTGATGAAATATTTAGACTATAGTTGATATGTATAATAATAGAGGTTAAAGACTGGAATTCCGACTTTTGAGAATTACAATAGTTACAATGAAAGGTTTTTCAGCTGCACAACAATTTTAAACTATGGGCTCTTTGGAATGATGTGATTCCACATGAACGGAATCTATTCTTTAGTGATGTGTCTATGAGAACAGTACGTGTTTGAATGCAGCCGCAGGTTGTAAACAGGTTTATAAAGAGGCAAATACAGAACAGCTGAACAAGAACATCTGAATTATCAGTGGCTTTTTCAGCGTGCTATTTTAGATGTTAAAGTGGAGCAGTTAACCAAAGAGCAGCAAGCGTGAGATAGCATCTCCAAGACACAGCACACAGGAGTCAGAGCGAAGCAAAGGGGTGAGCAGAGGTGATGTGCCTTCAAAGAGCTTTATAGAGGCCAGTGCTGAGTGGACAGTGATTCCTTTATCATCCTCCGGAGCTGAGAAGCACCAGGGGCTAAAGGGGCAGGAGAGAGGTGGCTGCAGTGAAAAGATAAGCCCAACAAAATGCATTTTAACACAACTGCTCTTAATGGGATGATACAGCAGATTATGATATGCACCAGGCACCAGGCACCAGGCTGAACCGCAGGCAGCAGACGGCGAGGTGTGTTAATTGGGGTCAATTATGTTCATTTTCAGCAGAGGTATGACTTCAACTTGGACTTGTACTTACTTGTATGTTTTGACGTTGTGCTGAGTCGCCTCTGGAAAACCAAGCATCCCACATACAACTCTGCTGCTGTTGAGACTCCAGCCCAAGTCACACACCTGCCTCCATCTCCCAGCATGCTTCACTTCAACTACACCTTCTGTGATTAGACTCTTTCTCTTTGTTGCCATAAGGATCGGACGAAGACGAACCTCCTCAATGCGAACCTTACTATGACCCTGGGATGTGAAAGTCAAAATGTTTAGTGTGTTTTTCATCAATAAGTATGCTTTTTGATCTTTTCTTCACTATACCTGGTAAAGATGGGGTCTGTTGATGGTTGGTACTTCATATGGATGTCCATTTCCATAGTAACCGTATGAAGGATGCCTTCTGGTGGAAACGAGGCCTTGCCACTGGGGTGCAGGGTTCAGATTGGTCCTCAGAGAAGTGTGCCCCCTACTGGCTGTTTGGTCCAACCTCCGCTCAGGGGCGCATACGACCCCCAAATCTTCTGAGTGCTTACAATCGTTCACTCCCCAACCATTGTGCTTGCAGTCCTTCAGAGACGCCTCAGAGCCGTCACAACGCACATTATCCATCCATATGGGACCTTAATGAAAATAAGACATACGCAAATATAACCAAGTATCTTCACTAAATGCAATCCCTGAAATAAAGGACATTTACCAGAAAACCAGATTGATTTTTCTTACAGGGCTAGGGCACTTAACACAAAAAGCTGTTGTAATCACTGCTTGTCCAATCCACAAACTCTTGTCTTTAATTCAGATTTAAAAGGCAGCAGTAAAATCGTCCGTAACCACAGCAAGTGTTGCACAACTCTGAGGCAGGCGAATGCTGTCATTATTCTCAAACAAACCCCATAGTTGCTATACAAAGCACAGACTTCTAGGCCGCTTTAATGAGATGTATGCTGCGATTAAAACCAAGATATCTTTGTCACTTTATAGGTTTGGTAGACTACTCATTTTAGGAATCTTAATTGGTGGACTTTTCACGAGATGAGAAAATGTGAGAGCACAAAACGTTTGCCTGGCTCTCAACACGAGTATGTGGTGCATTAAATGTATAATTTGATCTCACCCTCTCCCTCGCCGTACTTGGCGCTGTGTGCCCACGTGATGGCGCTGTGGAAGCCCAGCTCTCTGCACACCACGTTGGCCAGTTTGATATCCACCTCGTCGTCACACACGGTTCCCCAGGTGTTGTTGTGCAGGATCTCCACACGACCCTCGCTTGCATTGCGTGGGTAGTTACCCGCCAGACGCACTTTGGCTGCGGGCGCTCGGCGGGCCCTCTGCGCTGACGCATGAGCGCAGGTGGACAGGGACAGGAGCGCGAGCACGAGCACGGACAAGGACACATCCATTCTTCTGTTACACCTGGTCAGTGCACACACAAAACATAAACCTTAAAGCTGGAGTGCTTAACTTTCAAATTACAGCATCATTAACTACAGGCTATCAACAAATATCAAACACTCAAACAAATCAACACTTGTTCTATCACAACTTTAAATATGCATTTTGGCACCTTCTTACAAGAAGCTTTCCTGATAAGAGGAACCCGATGAGTCTGATTAGTTCACACAATGTTTAAATCTACCAGACAAATTCTGTTGGAACAAAAACAGGTATTTTTATAATGAGAAAAAAGTATTTTTATGAGAGAAAAAAAAGTATTTTTATTGGAAAAAAATTTATGAGAAAGTATTGTTTGTGAGAAAAAAGTGAGGTACCCCAGCTTTAAAGGAATCACTTCAGATCTCAGTAAAATAAATATGGTCTGACACTTTGCATTGCTTTGGGTTTTTGTTTAAAGCCCATAACTTACTGTCTTGTTTCAAATAAGACAGCAGTTTTAAAGCGGTCTTCAAAATAGTGCAGATGCCACAACTCAGTTATAATTCATGCTTATGGATGCTCAAGGACGTATAATTTAGAAATTAACTTTAGTATTGCAATTCCAGAAAATAAACATTACTTGGGGCTTAAAAACAGACAGAAGCATGTTACAGCTTTCAGCGAGACATATTGAAACACTAAATCTCCTCAGGCCACAATGGGATGCACGCTTATACTGAGAGCTCAATAAGTCAGAATGTAGACATGTCAGACCTCAGAATAAAGTGAAATATATCTTTAATCATTGCCGCTGAATATGTTCTGCACCTGTTACACTTCCACAACACATGCATGAAGACACACAGATCATATACAAATGTTATCCATGCCTATACTAAAGTTGGCTTACCTGACAGGCATAGTGTGGCCCTCCTGGTGTCACCGGCAGGAACTGGGAGAGAGTCAGTGACTAGGGGATTGTGGTTATCCCAAAGCTCTCCTTTCTCAGTCCACCCTTTTCCCTCCTTCTCCACATAACCCTCCCAGCATCCCTCCCTCTCTCCCTCCTGCTGGGCTCTCCTAACTCAACTGTTCACATAAGATGCTTGTGCAATAAGATATAGAATTATTCAATATGTACAAGTAGATTGTGTGGTTCAGTTTCCATTTGAAGAGTACGCACTTTTTTATATTTAACACTCTTTAAGCACATCGAGACACAATGACTCTTTGTTACACCTTCTGTTAAAGTCCTGTCAAAGGAAGGGATATTTCAAAAAGAATTTTGCTTTTTGAAGTCAACCAAATTTAACATTTAAAAAACTGGGTTACCTAACTTTTAAACCACAAAAATTACTAAAAAAGCCATTTCTCTTAAAAAGTTTGGTTCTATTACTAGTTATTGCATTCATGTATTTTTTGGCCACAAAGAAAAATGTGTCTGTGTGGGTGTGTGCGTGCATATGCAACTGTAAGTGGCAGGGTGGCTGAGTGGATAACACACTTGCTTCTTACCAAGAAGGTTCTGGGTTCGAATCCTGGTCGAAACAGGGCCTTTCGGAGTGGAGTTTGGATGTTCTCCCCGTGTTTGCGTAGGTTTCCTCTCGATACTCTGATTTCCCCAACCACTACAAACATGTGCAATAGTTCAGGGTGAGTGTGTGTGTGTGAGTGTGAATGTGAATGTGGGACAACAGATGCAAATTAGCCCAACCAAATAAACAATAAATAAATACATTGAAAAACATGACTCTTGTTAGGGCTGTTGAAACCCTTCATCATTATACTTACAGTACATTTTTCACCTTTACCATTGGGCTGTTTGTATAACCGGAAAGACTCCAGAATGTCCTAAAGAAGCTCCCTATACCACGGTTATGCTTCCTTGTTCATAAGGCCACAAACCACCGGGTCTAAAATAAGCCAGCCTCCCTGTAGCCATGGTAAATGTGACTGATGAGAATGGGCCATGCCACCCAGGCATGAGGTATGTTACTACAGTCAACGCTGATGCCATTGGAAACATGCACATACAAGTCTGCGAACTGCGAAGGCCAGAAAAAGGTATAACTCTGGATGGGGAGGGGTCTGCTCAGGAGGACATGATCCAAATTAGAATGAAAGATGCTTACTGTATTTGTTTTTGGGAAAACTTTTAGTCAAATTTAGAAACTGTGGATAGTATATTTTAGTTGTGTTAACCTCAGTGTCATTTTTAGCACACAGGTTATTCATAGACAGAAAAATAGATGGCATGAGGCAAAATAATCATACAAAAACACTTTCCTCAATATTTCACATCAACCTTATAGTAGAATGTGCTGCAAATATATGTGTAAAATGTGAGAATATGTAGATTTGTTTGGGGTTACATGATAATTCTAATCTAATGAGGGGAAAGTGAAGAGAACATCAGGCATCAAGCTAAAGTCATTGTGCGTAACTTTAGGCAGCGGATACCCCAAGTCTGCCCATTGCTACAGTATCTAGAAGGCAAGGCATAATGAATTCCATCAACTAGCAAAGCCTGGCAAGGCTGCAAGATTTAACACAATTATAGTAAAACTGCAATTGTTGTGGTTGTATTCAACAAATGTCTAAGACTGCAATAAAACTACTGCATAAAAGAACTAATAATTGCATCTTGATTTAATTGTATTTAGATTGTCTTACCAGTAAATTAACAATTGGCAATGGGAAAAGTAGCTTAGTAAAGTATAAAAAAGTTACAAGTATATAATTCTAGTAATAAATTGCTTGTATTTTTCACTGAAAGTGAAATAATTCTTAATTCAAGCATATACTAACTTTGTTCACTGTATGTGTAATTTTACTATAATTTAAGATACAACAAGGGTCAGCAAGCGTGTGGCATGTGGTGTCTTGTATCAGCTGATCAGTTGATGCATTATTTAGTAGTGATTTTTTATGTATTTATTTAACTCCAACTCTAACCCTAAGTTGTTTATATGCACTCTGGACAGATGTTACTTTTAATCTTACTGTAATCATCAATGAAATATTTAGAAAATAGCTTCCATCTCTGCAGCCAAAAAGTAACTTGACAGGACCGGAGGACGGTGCGCAGACCCACTACACACCGGCCTGACTTTGTCTCGTTTGGCGAGTGTGCGTTGCATTTCTGTTTCATCACTTCTACATCGGCCAACTCTGTGAAAACAGTCGTGTGAACTTTGTTTAGTAGGCAACCTCACATATGCCACCATCCTCCAATCAGAAAATATCATTATACACTTTTCCAAATGAGATAAAAGAGTTCAAAGTAAAAATTGAATCTCAACTATCTTTTATATGTTTTAGGGACATTTCCAGATGTTCCTTTGACAGAACATCACCTGGTTACGTGACCAAGTGCTTTAATGTACAATACTGCCATCATGTGTCCCTTTGTGGAAATGTGGAACAAACACTACATTTTAGACCAACACTCAAAAATGTGTTTCCCAGATATGCATTTATTAGATATATAAAAAAGACTTGTTTCTTTTAGGGAAACATTTTTAAGACACATAACTCTTGAGTGGAGATTGAAATGTTACGGTAAAACATTTAAAATTTGGAAATATAAAAACAATCATTATGCGCCTAAGTAATGGACACAGCAATAATCAAAATCAAGTTAAGAATTGTACAGAAGTGTAGTTTAGCTTAAGATGATACATTCCTTGTTGGAGTCTTGGCAAAAGGATGAACTAAGAAAAAAACAGAAGTGCATCATGCGACGTATTTGTACCAAATACATACAACCACAAAAACATCAGTAGTGCTCACTGAAAGCTCGAGTGGGAGTGCACAATGACATGACGTGGAGACAGTACATTTGACAAAAGATACCTCGAGTTACATAGTTATAAAGCCAGGTATAAATAACAATAAATACTTATAAAGCAGACCATAGTTTGCTAGTGATGGTAGTGTGAACTTAGCAGAAGTCCTTAGATGAATGCACAGTTTAGTGTTCACACAGACCAGAGGGTTCAGTGCACAGCCGTTAGAACCCACATTCTTCGGTTCTAACTGAAATACTGAAACTGGGGCTCTAAGGTCACAACACTGCTTCTGAAAGTTCAAAAGTGGATTTGATTAGACAATACTGTGCAGCAGGTTAGAAAGTCACAAGACAAGGATTCAGAACCTGATCAGCAAAGTGAGTTTGCAAGTGGGAAATCTGTTCACCTACAGAACAATTTAGTTGTATTCACATGTCACAACAGTCCTAAGCTTAACCGAATAGAATACAAAAACTTTTATTGGGGCTTTTAAAACCAAATGTAAAAATCAATCACATACATTTAGAAACACCCTTATTCTTTGGAGAAAACCCTCCAAAAGAAAATTACAACAATTATCCAAAACTGCCATTTTAAGTTACTTATCATGTGGAACATTGACGACAACATTATCCAGAGATCTTTAAAAAAGGAAACCATTTTTATCTTCACACCTACCTTGAGCCATTTCATTTCATTATTCATGTGGTAATTGTCAATGGCTGAATAAAAACACCTCTTCCTTTGAGTTGTGCAGGGAACTCTTAAAATCCTTAGAGTGGACTGTTCTTGGCAGTCAGGTGTACCAGCGTTTTAGTTTTGTCTATATGTCCTCCGAGAGTAAACAAACCAAGTTCAAGGTTGCCATGGCTTCCTGTCCTTGCCCTTCTGATCTGGAATGTGTTTATAACGACATTTATCCCCAAAATGGCAGCCGGTTGTTCTCCAGAAGTAACACTCGTCTTCGTTCACAGGGCCCCGACGTCTCGCTCTAGGAAGCAGTGCCATTTTTATCAAGAATACATGAATTGTGGCCCTATTTTAGTCTGTCTTACCCTGCAGACATCCCAGCTTGTTGTGTGAGAGACAGACAGGTCTTAAGTGGCATAGGAATGGCTCTCGGGCGGCGGTCAGGATAGCGCACAACTAATCGAGTGTTCTCTATACAATGACCCTAAGAGAGCAAGTACACATGAGTTCAGGTGAACATTCAAATTGTGTGTCTTTTTGGCCAATACTCACATTCAGTTTCTCCATGGCTCGAGCGGCCATGTTGGTGTCTTTGAAATTTACAAAAGCACAGAATCTTTCATGTAGAACTCGAATGCTTTCAATTTCACCACATCTTAAAAAAACAACAAAAATGTGTGCATTTTATCAAGTGTATTTAACATTTTTGCAATCGTTAATCTTTTATTTCTACTAGGAGAAATATGAAGTAATCGCTTCATTAGTGTGCGTTTTCAAAAGTTAACTTGTTGTTCTCTGGAACAAAGGGTATCGGAAATTGGGAGGAGGCCCAGGACACGTTAGAGGGACTATGTCCCTCATCTGTCCTGGGAACACCTCAGGATTCCCCCTGGAGGGGGTGTGTGGAGAGTAGTCTGGGCATCTCTGCTCAGACTACTCTCCTGCCACAGAGAAAGCAGAATAAAATGTTAAACATGTCAAATGGTTCATAATTACGTTTTAAAGAGATCCAAAATGTGTTTTTCCGTTAGTTCAGTTGTCACGTTTCCAACCCAGAGAGAAGGACAAGGGCTGTTGGTGAAAACATTTACATTTATTAAAACATCTACACTTTTAAAAGATCAATTTCAACATTTTTCACATACCCTGTTTGCGATGCCAATAGATCTTGTGCGGTGCCTTTGAAAAAAATAAGAGAAACAAATCAGATTACGAATACATAAAACGGCTGTGATAATGATTTCAAATATATAAAAGTATCTTTGGGACCATGAGTGGCAGAACTTTGCAAACTACCGCAGAATATGTTATAAGCACAAGACCACATTATCTTTGGTACAACTAACACCTTAAAATCAGCCTCACCTTTTACAGCATCTGATGACAAAACAGCTTGCACACTTGTGAATTTCTCCAGTAGAAAGACACTTTGCATTTCATCAAAACCGTGCTCCTAAAGGCGATACACAAAGATAAATACTTGCTCTTATAAAATGAGGCCCCATTTGCCGGTGCTTTACCATTAACTGCAGCACTTTACAATTGAATAGATCTGTGACCGCTTCCTCACAGTCTGTGTCCAGTCTCAGAACCTTCTCCATCGCCTTTTCAGCTTCACTGTACCTCTGTGAAAGTCATTCATTTTTTATTTCACAAACAAAGCATTCTTACATTTCCAACACAATGATTTTTGGATTTCAGAACTCACCTTCATGCCCATTAGTGCTATACCTTTGCGAAAATACCCCTTTGGCCAATCAGGTGCCAGCTGAATGGAGCGCTCAGCATCAGCCAGAGCCTGTGGAAACTGATCCAAGCAGCTGTAGCAATAAGAGCGATTCCCAAAGAACCTACAAGGGCAAATATTGATCGCATATTTTGGTGTAACTTCCAAGAGTTAGAGTTAATGATTCATTTACCTGTAATCCTTTGGATCGCATTTAATAGCTTCTGTAAACATTGAGACCGCTTGTGCATACTGCCCCTCTTGGACCAGTTTAATCCCTTTTTCTGCAAATGCATTAAAATATGCTGTATATAAATGTACACACACACACACACTATAAACTAACCAACACAAGAACTTTACCTGTTAACGAGGCACTTTTCTTGCTCATCATATCTGTGTGTCCATTTGTCTGCAAGAAATCCACTTTGCTTATGTTCCAGTCGTATATCACATACAGCTGTTAATCTACCATTTGCCCAAGTAGTTTGAACCTTAGTAAACTAAGAACATTACTTTTCTACATAATTAAAATTATGCCCACCTCTTTCTTGGCTTCGTTTTCCTTGTTGTCTCTTGATTTGCGACTTGCAACTTTGGGCCGAATATGACTAGCAGCGTTGGCAAAGAAGGCACTGCTTACGTCCCATTCAGGTTCCTGGGAGATGGTTGCTTAAGTGTCATTTGAAAAGTAAGTAGCAGTGAGTGTTGGAAATACTTCATACCTCTTCAGCAGGTTTGGATTGGCTTTGGTTTTTCTGCTGAGCTTTTATTCCTGGAGAAGATGTTACTGTAGTGGTTGTTGGTTTGGTCAAATCTACAGGTTTGACTTCCTTCTGCAAATCATTCCCGTCTTCCGTGTCAGATTCACTGTCTTCGAGCTCAGACTCTGCTCCGGCCTCTTCCTCCTCATCATCATCATCCTAAATCACAGTAGTACACGTTTGATACATTTCTTTATTCTTAAAAATGTAGTTCAAATCTTACCTGATCTTTTTGCTGAATTAGCCCTTGCCTCTTTTTCTTTCTACGACGCTATAAACCAAAATACATTGTGACAAGTTAGTATATGAATGTTGCATCTATTCAACAGTTTGTTTGTTTGATACCAACTTTTCTTTTTGCTCTGCGCCGCTCTGCTCTCCGCCTGCACTTCTCCCCCTCACTAAGGTCCTCTTCTCCGTTGACTCCATCCTGAACATAGAGAGTGATGTAGACTTGTTGAACTTCACTATTGCCGTGTAAAACTGACACCATTTATTTACCTGCGACAAATCTACATCCTCGCTCAGGTCAGAGGCAGCGGGCCCACAGTCCATGTGCTCTTCCTGGGCCGGGGGGCCTAATAACACATTTCACATTGTGCATGAATACATACATCTGCATTATGCATTATTGTCCAGGACAGATTGAGTTGTCACACTGACATTTCTTTAAGTTCCTTGCCAACCAAAAAGGGAACTAAAGATAAGGGAGGTCACTTGAATTTGGGAAAAGAATTTTTTTATATATAATTATATATATGTTTTTTTATTTTTTTATTTACACAATAATAATGTTTTTTATTTACACATCATTTGCCCTCCACGGACCTCTAAGCTCAGGTCCTCGATCTTAGAGATATATATGTAAAAACACACACACACCAATTCGGGCGTTCTGCTCTCCCAAAATTCCATCCGATGGGCGGGGGAGCGACTGAATTTTGCGTTGCATTATGGGTAACACTTGCCTTCGCAACTTCCGGTTCTCTCTGCCCGGCGCATTTTCTCTAAATGGTTGAGTGTTTTCGTCATTTTACATTATGCAAATACATTCCCGTCTCTAACTAGTGGCATATCGCGCAAATCATCCGTCCAATTCACATTCTTCCCTCTTAGCTGAACTTCATTCTCATTGTTACCATCTGTCACTCGCACACACAGCCGTTTTCGTTCACTCTGCTCGCTGTCATCTTCTTCTAAATCTTCATAAACACCATCCGCTCGTTGAACTAGCAACAACAATTCCTCCTTTCGTTTTCCCACACTGCAAATACCCTTTCGCTTCAACCTTTCACGCAATTCAGGCACTGTCAATCGTTTGTTGTTTTTGTGAGCCATATTCGCCATTGTATGAAATCAACCGGAAGTGAACTGGGCAACAAACGGTGTCATTTTTTGATCACAGCGCCGCTCAGTGGATGAAATTTTGGGAGAGCAGAACGCCCGAATTGCCCTCCGTGGGCGGTTATCCCTCTCTAAGCTCGGGTCCTGCTGAGGCCTGGGAGCTTGAGGGTTCTACGCAGTGTCTTTGCTGTTCCTAGCACTGCACAATAATACTTCACTCAAAATGTTTTGCACAACTCAGGTCAAACAATAACAACAATTGTGTGATAAAACTCAATTCAAGTGTTCTATTTATTTATTATTTTTGTAACAAATCTTTTGGACAATTTTCTTGTACTTTAGGTTAGAAATGTGTTAGAATTGTGTATGAAGTAATCAATCCAACAATCAATATGCTCTACATAACACATAATGACTGGAGTGAGGATTCGCACAGATCGGGTGCGTAGGAGGAGAGGCCTGTATAGCCTAATGTAGTAGAGAATGATTCCCGCACAGTCTTACTTGCAAATTAAAAATAATTTATTGGAAGTGCGACGTTTCTGCGTTATGCCTTCATAAAGCAAATATTTGCTTGTTGAAATCTTTTTAATTTGCAAGTAAGACACTGTGTGGGAATAATTCTATCTCCATAATAGATCATACTGATATATAATAATAATTTTATGGACCAATTTAATTTGAGTCCAAAATAAAGATTAATAATAAAAATACCAGATTTTTAAACATACATTATATAAAAAAATCATCGTCAAACAACTTTTTTAATAGAAAATGCATTCTTGCTGTCAAAGACCCATGCAGACTAGAAGTGTGAAATAAGTGCGAAATCCATTCAAAGAACTAGAGCTGTGGTTTTTAGTACATCGGCCACAGTGGGCTGAGGTTTTTTTTTTGTATGTAGCGTTAACTTGACATTTAAATCTTCCATTCCAATTGATTGAAGATGTTTTATACTACAACTGCTTATCACAAGTTCCAATGTTTGTGAGATTTTGTGAGTTCCATGCTGCTCCACATTTAGTCACAAAGATTAACAGGAACTTTCACCGTTTAAGGTTTATAACAGCAGCAAAAGCGGTTTGCCCCATGCAAAATAATGTGTCCACATTCAGCAACACTTTCCACTGGTGACAAATCCATACTTGATCTGTGACTCATGTTGGGACTCGTGAGGTGCTATATGTTCAAGTTTAGTCTTCTCTACCATGGCAGGGAATTTTATTAATGCAGTTAACACTACTAGTCGTTTTTCTTAGGGTTTCCCTTATGTCAGTCGTCTGTAAATAAACTTCTAGGTGTCCTGGGCCTCTACACATAAAACGCAGAAGGAATTTCAGCTGTCTGCATTGGCTCACTGCTCAAATGTCAAGGCAGCACTCCCCGAAAGACCAAGCTCTGACCTTATAGCAAATGTTTGTTGTACATTTTTACCATACAACAGTGTTCTGTAGACGAGCACACGGTCAAACCCAAACAATAGTGTCCCTGTCTGTTCCTTCTTCAAGAAGTCTGTAAATGGTACATGGCTGAAAGGTGAGCTCTTTCCACAGGAATGCAAAATACAACAGGGTCATCATCGACATGGATTGTGAAAGTAACCAGGAAATAGGATAAAGATATGCTTTCCAGTCGGCATTACTCAGGTTACTGTTTGACAGCAGTGAAAATTCATGGCAAGGTCTACTGAGGTAATTTGATAAGTAATTATCAGGTTAGGGATAAGTAAAGGGCACAGAAACATTGAGGGCAGTAGGAATGAGCTGCATTTCCTAACTTTGTAAAATGCCATTTCAGAGATCTGCTTATATATAACAGTGCAAAGTAAAAAGGTTAAATGTGTACTTCATAACGTCATGTTATCAGCAGGAGCTCGCACCACGTACAGCCGAGAGCCGAGAGCCGAGAGCCGAGAGCCGAGAGCCGTGAGCCGAGAGCCGTGAGCCGAGAGCCGAGAGCCGAGAGCCGTGAGCCGAGAGCCGTGAGCCGTGAGCCGAGAGCCGTGAGCCGAGAGACAGGGTGGGAACTGCCAATGGGGCAACTTTCCATTGTTTGACCAAGAACCATAAGAACCCAAACGAATCATTAACAATGTTACAAAGCCCGTCTCAAACCACTACAGTGTGGTGTAGGTTGTGGGGTCACCTCCCAGGAAAAGCTCCGTGTAGTTATTAGAATGCTTGTGCTTGTGGTTAAAGTTTGTAAAGTGTACCGAGCTTCGTCTCTTACCGCTCCCGAGTCCCAAGAACCAGCATATATCTCTGGTGAATCTCATGAGCGCGACCATCCAGCATTATCGTCTCAAATATCTCCCAAAGTGATCAAAAGTGTTCGCTTAGCGGCGGATGAACGTTATTTGTCATTGTTTAAAAGAAGTATCGAATCTGCGGGAATCTGCGGTGAAGTGAACTTCCTCAGCGCGTCAGCCTGGTCCAGGCTGCTGCGCCTTAAAGAGACAGTACAACACACTTATGCTCACTATACTTACACTGGGGGTAGAATACTTGGAAAACGTATTCCGTTCCACAATACTGAATACATAAACTAAAAAGTATTTTGCATAGTATTCCTTTAGTTTGGAAAAAGTAGTATTTGAATTCTGAATACTTACGATACATTTATTTATACTTTTAATTATTATTTTTTGTATTATTTATATTTGTTGTCAATTAATGTTCAATTGCAAAGCTTATAAAGGTACATCTAAAAATATTTAAAACCACAACCTCAATAAATGTTTACAGAATGAAACAAACAAGTTATGACATGGAGACAAACATGATTTTATTTGTATATCAAAATGACAAGTACTAAAAATATATTGATTTGGTTACATTGATTTACATTTTCATTTCTTTTTAACTCATATAGCAGTTTCTTTTTCATCATGATCATTTAATTTGTTTTTCATCATGATCATGATAATCATCAAGGTTTTGGAAATGAAAGACAATAATTGTGACAAAAATATAATGTTGATACAATAGCCTACAAAATCAGCCATTTTTAATGACATCAAAAACTTTTGATGTCGCTCATGGCAGTCAGGGCTGCATTCCAACCTGCAGATCCCATCACACCACCTCCTAAAAATAACATTCAACATGAGACCGTATTAGTCATACAAAACACAAGTCACCCTACTGGCATAACTACTATAGACTGGCATCCTTAGGTAACTAAAACAACAAACTGAAAAAATGCTTGCCTGGATGGGCACCACTGCCACAAAGATAAAGCCCTTTAATAGGTGAGCGGTAGTCTGACAGAGAGGGCAGTGGTCGTGCGAGGTAGAGTTGATCAAGTGACATCGATGCATGAAAAATGTTCTGTAACAAAGAAGACAGAGACCAGTTCATTTGGAATCTTCTGCGCTCATGAAATATGTTGCTTTACTCCACCTCTACAGCTGTGATTTAATGTGATGTTGCATTTTATTTATATTGTTAGCGTCTTGAGAAAAATGAATTTATTTGTTTTGTCTGAATGGATGTGTTTCTGCTGCTACTGGACACCTGCATTTCTCTTACAGGGATCAATATGCATCTACTGTATATATCTTTAGTTTACACATGTGGACTTTGAGTCTGACACTTGGGCTGTGGCGACACTATAGATTAGCTGTAGTTCACTCTCTGATACAAAGAGAGGAGGAAGGAGACACACACACAAGCCCACACACTCCACACACTCAAAAAGGCTAAATTCAGATAAACAGACAGTGTGGCTGTCCTTTGAAAACAATACCCCTCCAGTGAGCCCAAAGATTCTCTCTAGATCTGGTGGAGTGAGGATGTCTCTTCCCACCACAGAACTTTTGAATCCTGGAGCATACTGTTCAATCCATTCAAAAGCTAGAAAGAAAGACATGCATAAATTTATCATTATCTTTTATGTTGGGAAACTAAATAACATTCTGTTTCTTTGATGGTCTGTACCAGTGTCTGCAAATGATTCCTTGTCTTGGTCAGTCCATTCCCTGCCCTCCACATAGTATGGAGTGTATTGAGTGAACAATGACACGACGTGGCAGCCAGGTGGCGCCAGAGTGTGATCCAACACCGATGGAATTGTCATCTCCAACATTGGTCTGGTAAAAAACATAAAATGAGGAGAAAACAGACTTACTTAAAGCTGGGGTACTTAAATTGTTTACTAGTTTAACAAAACTAGTTCCTCACTTTCAAAACAGTGCTATCCCTTTAGATCAACTTTTTTCAGACAGAAAATTTAAAAAGAGAGAATCACCCTTCATCTCTTAGCCCAAACACAAAAGTCAAAAGAATAATGGAATATATTAGGGTGAAGACAGTATGCTGTGGTCTTACTTTTACATGAATCTGTACTATTGTATGCCCCAGCTTTTATTAATTTGTTATGTTTTTGATACGTGATATATTTCATGAAGTGTGTGTATACCTGGATGAAGGCCGACCATTCAGGGCCTCTTTATAAGCAGTCTCCAACACATCCACACTTTCGCAGTTGAGGTGAATGGAGCACTGATGATGGGGTCCCGGTTTGTTATCAGGTGTGGGTGCTGCCAGAAAGTTTGGGAGCTTGTCCAGGGCCACTAAAAAAGACCCCAATACATCAATATGGTCATAGTTAGAACATACAAGAAAAGCTCAGTATAAAGGTATAGCTTTTATGAATGCCTGTTTTGCCGTTGTGCGATTAAGATTAAGAGATCCTTTATTCGTCCCACAGTGGGAAAATTTCAGTGTTGCATCACAATTTACAAACAGTAGGAATGAGAAGCACACAGCACCAAACAGATGAAGAACTACTCCATACTAAAATAGAATAAAATCTCTAGCTCTAGCATAAAAAAACAGTATACAATCTCTATCTTTAGCATAATAAGGAAAGAAGTCAATCATCTCCAACATTAGCATGATGAAGCAGCAAGAAAACAAAAACCCCTGACTTTATCATATTAAGGAGCAAGTGTAAAATATATTCTAGTGCAAGTAATATGTAGTTGTATGTACTTGTTATGTACAGCTGCATAAGGGTGTAGGACAAAGTGACTAAGTAAAGTGACAGTAACATATGTAGTTCATGAGATGAGAAGTACTATTATGATTGCATTCAACTATTTGGAAAACATTGAATAATCCAAATAATTGTCACACTAAAGAGTGAAGCAATATTACATCGACATTAGCTATGATCTTTTGTAAATATTCGGTAGAGGGCTTTCCTTATACCCGTCAAACTCTTGGTTAATATTCCGCAATCAAAGTTCTTTCAGAATCTCTAAGTGAAACAGACAGTGGGATGAGCCCTGAGACTCCATATTAGATAGAGGACTACTAAAGGAAATTACAGAAATAAATTAAAGAGAAAAATGTTTGGGGTTTTTTTCATCTGGAAACATTTATGTGAAGCCAGGTGGCTGTTTGAAAAGTGTCCTGAAGTACCTTGGCGCCAAAAGGGCAATTTCTATGTACAAAATCTTAACGTGAATAAGTCAACGAATGGAAAACTACTCGCTGCCTATAGTTGAGAGAAGAACAATCACAGAGAACTGGACAGAGCTGGAAGAGCAGAGACAGAATATGCCACTCACACCTGCATCAACATTTCCTCCAAAAGCGCTATACAAATGTTGAAAATTCAGTATATACAACTATATATGTGTATAGTATATACCTCTACAGTGGATAGTAGAGAGCAGACCTATATCTATATTTTATGTTAAGGCAGACAGCCTTGTTAATGATTACAAATGACAACATACCATTGATCTTAGTGACAGGTGAGGTGTAGTCTATCTGATCCACAGCTTTGATAAACTCGGGAGGAAGAGCACTCTGAATGAAAAATATATATAAATATATAACACAAGGGAAAAATGAATTTGTTTTTATTACCTGGGGAGTGAGTTTCTTGTATGTAATGTACGGAGTTGCATTTGATAGAACAACTTTACTATTAATCTCTGTGCCATCTTTTAGCACAACTCCTTTGGCAGCTCCATTTGAATCAATTAGCACTTGATCCACCTCCTACCAATGTGAACAGAAGCAATCATATCAATGATGTCAAACACACATACTAATAATGTATGTGTAATACACATAATGATCTCCTTTCACCTTTTCAGTGAAAATATCCACGCCATATGAAGAAGCTGCATTAGCAATAGCTTTGGACACTCCTCCCATGCCTCCTTCGACATACCCCCAAGCCCCTTTCTCGTCTTCCAATCCTCCCATGACGTGGTGCAAAAGTACATATCTATAAAAGGCAGGCAGTGTATTGTATAGGATTGTTATATTGTGTACTTATTTACTGTACTCACCCGCTGCCAGGATTACTAGGACTGGTCATAGCACCAATTACAGCATCTGTGGCTAATGTTGCTCTTAGAGGTTCTGACTCAAACCACTGATTGAGTATCTAAAATACACCCAATTAAATAGATATATCTGTTAATATTTGTATTAATTTAATGAATTCAATCCCAAGTGTGGAAAATACCTTGAGTGCTGGTGCTGTTACAATGTTGTAAAAGTCAGGAATGTTCCGACCAAGCGTTAAGCCTATTCAAAACACTAAAATACATAAGACAGACTGAAGAGATCCATGTATGATTGTGTATATCTATGTACCTACCACATTTGATCACAGGCAGGAGTGTTTTAGTGGCGGCGAGCCTCTTCCATGGTGAGCCTGTAGTGAGAGCAGGAATGTTCACAGGAGTGGCGTCCAGCAGAGGTTGGATGGCATCCGCCAGGTTCTCCAAGTATATTACAAAATCTTTATACACCTGGAGTAGATGAAACACCAATAGATATGTATGAAAAAACTATGACATCACATTCACAGATGTATGTACCCTTGCATCCTTCTGGGAGAACTTGCTGATTTCCTCCTGGTTCTTGGTCAGATCAGATCCCAGGGTCAGGGACCGTGGTGGAGCCCCTCTAACGCCTTCCTCCAACATGGGTGTGAAAGCATGAGGGTCCCTTGCGTATACTTTCAGGCCATGTTTCTGCCAAAGTGAGAGATGAAATAACTTTATATGTATAGCGTAGCTTGCATTCTAGTGATTGTGTTAAACTTTACTTTGAGTTCCAGGTCATTATAGATGTGAGGTCGCAACAGACTTAACAAATAAGAGCATCTTGAAAAGTGGAAGCCTGTTCAAAACACACTCATTGTACATGGTAAAAAACATGGACTGTATACATGCAGTGTATGGGTACCTACAGTCCTATGAGACCTACCCGGGAAGATTTCTTCGGACACCGCAGCGCCTCCCAGCACATGCCTGCGCTCCAGAACTGCTGTCTTCAGTCCTCCTTTCTGAAGATATGCGGCCTATAACGTGTGTCAATTGCACAAATCAAGGTCTTGAAGTGAATCATCTGCAGGTTGCATGAGCCAACTCACCGCCACCAGTCCATTGTGACCTGTGCACAATAGAAAGGGTCAGTGAGAATCATACGCCAAACTGCACATTAATGGCACGGGTGCTGCCACAGTGAGCCTGGCTGAACATCTGGGTGTGCATCAATTACCTCCTCCGATGACCAGAGTATCATACCGTGCCTTTACAGCCGCACGGGTGGAACAGGCCCTGGTCAGAAATTTCACAGCTCGGCCGCTCTTTCTGCACGACGCCGCAGTAGCCATCAGGCATTAGGTGAAAGTTTGTCCCACGGCTGCACGGTCCCAGAGCTGCAAATGAGAATTGACTTTGCTCCCGCCGCAGCTTGGCGAAAAGTTACTCTGTAGTTGAAGGTAAAACTCTTGGACCTTGGAAATGATTAAGCTTCGGCTTTTAAGTGTGTCAACAAGCGAAGAGCTGAGATAGACGCTAGACACATTCTCCGCCAGGTGGCACTGTTGAACTGAGATTACTGGACCAAAGCTACTGTAGTTACATAAATAAATCTAGTCAGTAGAATTACAAAGTGCAAAATACACATTTATTATACGTCTGATGTATTCCATTTGAGCATGTATTAATCTGTACCAAACCTATTGTATAGCTTAGTTAAAATATCTCACAAGTCATACTTGTATATCTGCTCAATTGCTGTTGGTTTTTTTCCTATTATAAATTACCTGCTCTCAATCAAACAACACATAATAAATATACATATTAAGGGAAGGCAAGGTCATTTCTTCCTCTTTTATGTCAAATCAAGTATGTTTATGCTACATTAATTATAACCCCCCTTTGATAATGGCTCGTATTATCCTTTTAAGAGTTGATTGGTTGTGTAACCTATGGGTGACAATTCCTGCTGGTGTTTTTCCCCTTTAAATGTACCACTGCTTGGCCTACTGTTGCATTTCTTGCAACAGTTGCAACTGGCACTGTTTAAATTTACAATTTTACTCACAAGAGTGAGAAGATAGTTATCCCTGAAATAAGTTGTTATCAGCACACATCTCAAGTCTTCCAGGCTCACCGTCATGGAAGCCTTATATGGTAAAAAAAAACAAAACAAAGACTGCTCATGTGTTGGATTCTCATGATGCTTCCATTACAGGTTGGTTACATCAGGAAAGTCATCAAGATAGAATTTTTGAACACAGCGGATGACTCAAAAATGTCCCCAAAGCTGGGCTGAAGACTAGATTGGGGGTCCGTATGACATGGGCCAATCCAGTCCCACTTAAATGAAGTCTGTTACTGATGCCACTTCTATCACTCTTGTTACCCAAACAAACCATGCAAGAGAAGGACTTTAAGAACAAAACAAAAATAAAAGGTCTCCTCAAATTTCCGGTTGGTCTATATAAGAGAGAATTTTGAAACTGGAATAAGGTTTTGAGTTTGATGAGTTAAGAAAAAATAATACTAATATGATAACAGACCGTGCACCATTTCTGTCAATTATTTTTCACAAAAAATATTTCTTTTTACTTAATGCCACATTATTGAGAGCCCCCTTCAATTTATCAAAACAGCGCCCTGCATCAAGTGTTCCAAAAAACATGTTTTAAGTGATAAACTATCAACAATAATACTCATCATAGTCATAGTCCTTTCAGAAACTTTTATTTCAGGTCATTTCAGTCCATTTACACCGGATCTGTTGTATAAATCCTGTAATTTAACTGATCCTTACATTTTGATCTAGAGAATATCTTCCAGTTTTCTTAAATGGATTGTGGACTTATTTTTACGTCAGGTGTCAAGATGAGAAAGCTCATAGGCCTAAGAGCATGTCTAAGAGGTTAAGGATTGGCTCTTAAGACAAATGATACCTTTAGTGCTGTTGTATAGTGGTGCTTATAGTGCATCAATAGAAGCTTTTATAATTCATACAGCAGTGCAAGAGCAGACATTTGCCATTTAGTCCAAAAACACACAAAATACAGATGAGATAATCTGATTATCAACTAGTATGATGTATTTTGCTTAGACAGTGTAAAACAACTCCTCTGGCTCTATAGATTGAGCACTCACGTGGTGAAAGGAATGAAATGCGGCACTATAATGAGCTAGGGTTTCCTTCTAGACATCTTTTGCCACTCCCCTGGTGTATTAGGGGCATTACTTTCAGGGAAGAGAAATGATCCCAATATAGCGGCTGCATGGTTTTCCTATTCAGAATGTCTGCGGACAACAGATAATCAACCATAACTAGATCATGGGTATGAGATTTTGTTCTTGTAAGCAAAATTTAACTCTTCATTCCTCTCTGTCGGCAGAAATTCAAAACTACAACCATTGAAAGCTCTTCCATAGTGGAAAACTCAATTATGCTGAACAGAGCCTCAGAAAAACACAATTAGACCAATCTAATTGTGAAAAGGTGCCTTTGAATGATACAATGTGACAAAGATATGGGAGGAACCACACCTCTGTGTTTGAAGAAACATGCTCAGAGTAGAACATGCGAGCTGCTGTGCATGGTTAATGGTTCTCATCTTCAGAACATGCATAAGGACAGATCATTTCTATTTACTGTATCTTTTGTATGTATTTACATTTACAAATGCATGTATTTTTAAATATCTGAATATTCTTTCCTCAAAAAAATGATATTGTATGTGCAATCTAAACGTTCTACCTACTATTATTATTCTGTTCTATTGTGTCCAACATGCCTGAAGAGACCACAGTACACAGTAAAAAGAATATGTTTGTTTGCAACAATTTCTTTATTTTCTTTTTTATTCGTTCAGCCAAACAAAACCCCATGGAGATGGGGCAGGCTCACTTCGACCTGCCCCAGGCTCCGAGAAGGATGGGGCTTTGGGTTCCCCATGGGTGATGTCACGGTCCTTGGATCGCACTTCATCTGACTCGACACCTAGGACCTGTTTGCCATGGACGACCCTTCCATCACCCAACTGAATCATTGTCACCCCTCTGGAGTAGATTTAGCATTGGCCTTAGAGCCTCAAGGTTGTGGGTTTGCCCACCATGAGACCTTCTCACACAATCTCCCACTGATGTCTGCTGTCGCTGTGTCCTTGGGCAAGACACTTAACCCCACTTTACCTGAAGCCCCCACTGAAAGATCAAGGCTTTTGGCTGGTGCTCTGTGAATTGGGTGCAGCTCTGACTGCCACCCCCTGACCCACAAATGGATTAACAGGAAGAAAAGGAATGGATAGACTTTTCCAGGGGCATAAAGCCGCAGGCAGCATTGCTCCAAGGAACAGCACTCTATGGTGGCAGTACATGGAGGAGTGATGTTGGCGGAACGCCGCAGCTATGCGGTTCCTGTATTGGACTGTTTTAGTGAAGAGAAATCTCAATCTAATGGAAAATCTCTTGATTTACCGATCAATGTGCTATGTCAGTCTTCCCATATAGCCTGTTAATTTTGAGTTATATGGAAGTGGAAGTATCACCACATTTGTTGTCTTTAGCAACACTTTTTGTCTTTAGCAACACTTTTCGTTTTTAGCAACACTTTTTTATCATAAGCAAAGCTTAAAAAAAAAGCTAAACTGTTTATGTATGTATTATTAAAAGGTAGTATTGTCAAGGATTGCCTAAGCCTATGATAAGTCGACTGAGTGACTTGAGTATTGTCCAATAGCTGCCCACAGTTGTAATACTGCAGCCAATCAAATCTTACTTCCTTGTCGGCGGTTGCGGCTGCATCCAAATTCAGCAAAAATACATCCTTGTTTATCCTTCTTTCTGTTTTAAAATGTGATGTTTTATAAGATAGACAGATAAGATATGTATACGCTTCTTTTAAAAACGTTTAGCTTGCAAACGTTGAGAAAATGAGGAGACAGGGAAAGAAAGAGTAAGGGCGTAGGTATATTTTATGAATTCGGATGCATACGCAGACTGTGCATGGCCCTGAGCTGTGACAGAACCGGACAGATCCGAGCAGAAGAGTTTCACTTTTTAAGTTAGAATGATGTAAGAAGTCTGTTTCACCGAGTGCTGTCTGTCTGCCTCTGGACACATGGAGACTGACGGATTTGTAAGGAAGCGGCGGATGACCCTGGAGTCGTCAGACAGTGACCCACGGGTCGCTGGTGCGTCTGCAGGGGCAGAAGTCCGGTGGCTCGGAGGCAGGTTTTGGGGGGTTTCTGAAACGATTGTTGGGTCGTTAACTCCCCGAATTGGCGGGGAGACGGAGATTCAGACTATTGGTTTAATCCGTGTCGCGACAGAACAACCGGAGGAGGCAGAGGTGGACTATGAGGGGCTGCCACAGAGCGCGTCCACAAGGACTCACATGTTGGCTGGAGCTGTGGCGGGGATCATGGAGCACTGTCTCATGTTTCCTGTGGACTGTGTCAAGGTAACTCCATATAGTGGCCTCGATACTGCTGTCACGCGTGTATGATCAAGCTGAGCGCTGCAATAGGTGATTCTAAACAGTGTTGATGCAACATGTTTATTAGCATAGCATGCTAACTAGCGTGCTAATACAGTGGTTGTTACAGTGGACAAGGTCAGTGTTGTGCAAGCAGACGCACACGCCGTGGCATCAGCAGCCTCCAAACTCCAGTTCCACATCACAGCTTGACATGGTTATTTTCTGCCATTGCTGCAATGAAGTTCCTGCATCTGAAGAACATACAATTGGAAGACTAGAGTATTTTTTTTCTGTTAATCAATGCAACATAATAGAATATATGGCTGGTCATGCTCCTACGTATCCAAAACAAAGCACATACTGTATAATTTATAAATATGATATCAAATAATCAAATTATAATCAATACCGTATTGGACATATACTTTTGTAGTATTTATTGTTTGCTCATTAATTAATCAATCTAATTCTCAAATAGAAAACTTAGTATTAATAAAACTTAGTACTAATAAAACCTAGTATTAGTAACCTTTTCCGGGGCGTTCTTTATGCTCAAACATACAATTCACTGGGACGTTTAATATACACTAAGCATGCTGACATGTTTTGATGCCCGCCATGACCGTGCCAATCCCCATGACCGTGCCAATCCCTTGATACTCAGCTGTTCATATTTTACTCCATCTTTAAACTTTTAGATTTAGAGCATGATACTGTCACTTTAGTGTTGCTTCTTCTGATATACATTTCTTGAAATCCAAACCATTAAGATTGCTTAAGCCATTTCTTGCTCTGGTCATGAACATCTCTCAAGTGCATCTGTCAGCTCTTGTCTTGAGACTTTAAAATCCATCAGTTACGTCTTGCACATCTGTCATTAATCACAGGAAAGCTAAATCAAACTACAGCTGTATAATTAATAACACATAACATTCATTACAACAATGTTTGTCCTCATGTAATTCTGTTTGTAATGTCACATTTTAGTTAAAATGTTACATGTAAAAGCAACTCGAGGTTAAAAGAGTTCCACAAACCAATCCATCGTCATTGTTCAGGCACCTACCACGGCAGCACACATTTCTAAACCTTTGTAATAGTTTAGATGTTCGCCACTCCTTTTCCTTGAATTATTGGTTTTGTTTGGGGTTCCTCTTTTTCCTCCACACATTACTGTGTTGAACTTCAGAATCTTGACTATGTTTCATTGTTCCCTCTTTTCAGACACGTATGCAGAGCCTTCAGCCTGAACCAGCTGCTCAGTATCGAAATGTGATGGACGCTCTTCGGCGGATTATAGCAACAGAGGGAGTGTGGCGGCCACTCAGGGGGCTGAATGCAACAGCTATTGGGGCAGGACCTGCTCATGCACTATATTTTGCCTGCTATGAGAAACTCAAAAGAACTCTCAGTGATGTCATACACCCAGGAGCAAACAGTCATTTGGCTAATGGTACCATAAAACATACTATGCCCAAAATCTATGAGACCATTTTATCTATTTGATTTATAGATGCTACCCTTGGCCATCCACCTTCCACTCATCTGCTGCTGACTGAATCTTTTCTGTTTATAGAACAGGCATTGCCTGTCCTACTTTGGTTATCAACCCCGTCTCATGGCCAACTTGTTGGTGCACTTTAACAAAGTACTAGGCTCAAGTGACAAGTATCACACATTGAGTTCAGCTGGAGTCCTTAGCCGACCTTAGGTGCTGTTTACACAACTACGCTGCGACAGTAAAACGTTAGAGTTGGGTATTGCATTGGCCTTTCGTTTACAAGAAGACAGTGTTTCAGGGGGATGAAAACACAAGCGTTGAAAAACGGCCTACGTGTGCGTTGAGTGCTATACAGAGAAGAATTCTCTTTTTTGTCCAAATGAAACCACACAAAGCTCTAGTTTCAGTTTGTATTTTCGCAGCTGCTGTTAAATGCAGAAAGATGTTAGTGCATTCTTTCACAGTGGCCTGAGGAGGATGTTGTTGAAGTGATTATACTGGTGGGGGTTGATCATGTTGTGTTGTAAAGTTTTACTGCCTCCTACTGGCCGGGTGCTAGAATTAAATTGTTTTCTGTTTTTGTGCAGATGCTGTGCACTTCAGATAAGGAGTCTGGTCGTTTTTCCTAATTGCTTTGCATTGTGTCTGTAGCGTCTTCATCTAAACAGGACCCAAAGTTACATGTGTATCTCTATTATGTCTTTATTTTTGACAAATTTAAAGGAAAGCTGTTTAAGTCCTCATTCCTTAGTGAAAACCGATAGTATGAAAACGTTTACACTATAAATACGTGGAAAAAGTTGATTGTAGAGTATTTTAGAGTCCATGTTTATAGGTTTAACTGCATTGATGTTTTCTTTGTCCCCCCCATTCAGGTGCGGCGGGGTGCGTGGCCACACTGCTTCATGACGCAATAATGAATCCTGCAGAAGGTAAAAAATAAAATGTACATGTATGTGTATATATATATATATATATATATATGTGTGTGTGTTAAAGTTGGAGTAGGTAAACCTTTCTTTTTGTTTCATGAATACACTTTGTTTGGCCCAACAGAGTCTTGTTTAAGTAACATGTGTCTTTATCTTTAATAGATTTTATATTTAAAAACTGATATTTGATTAATTGAGTGTGGGAGGTCATTTCTTTTTTACTGAAAAAGCTGTTCTAAAGATAGGGGACACGGGTCAAAAATACATTCTTATGAAAAGAATTGATAAAAAATGAAACACCCCAGGATGACTTGCTGATGGGGATCCTAGATAAACTAAACAACAACAACAATTTCACGTAAGTGGAGAAATGTCACGGACAAAGAGGGTTTAACTGGGTGTGTTTACAAATTATAACAATATGGAGTACCTTCAATAACAATACTCTGTGTGATTGTCAACCGAGTTTTGGTTCTGTGTCTGACCTTTGGACTTTATTGCTCTAACTTTTTGTCTGTAACTTTTATCTTACTATTATTATTGGCACATGATCTGCAAATGTAATCGCACAACAAGGTTTACTTTTTGCGTTTAATTTTCAAACATGGCCACATTGGCCAGCTGTTTCACTTTGGCTTCATGTTACAAAACAATACAAAACACTTGCAGTTAGGACCTAGATTCAGATATATCATATATCTTCACATGCTACAATATATCAGACAAATAAGTCCATGTTTTTAATTAATCTGATAAACTATACTAAGGATACATCGCTAAATACAAGCGTGGCATTTCACTCTGCCCTCAAATGCATCTTTGCCTGAGCTCTCATTACAATCCAATCAACGTGGAGCGCATTGGATCGGAGTAAACGCACAAATGCCTAGCCCCAAAATTAGTTTCAACTGCTATGAACTAGTTACTGAATTTCTATTGATTCTATTTCAACTTCACATATGCATAATATGTATTATACACATAATTGTCTATTTTACTAACCCTGAAGTTAAGCTGAGTTTCTTTATTGAAATATGACTAATGAAGCAAAAGATCAGTTATTGTTTGTATTCTCACTGATAACAATTTCTCTTATTTGCAGTGGTAAAGCAGCGCATGCAAATGTACAACTCTCCATACCGGGGCGTATTGGACTGTATTGCTGCTGTGTGGCAGAAAGAGGGCGCTGCTGCGTTCTACCGCAGTTACACCACTCAGCTCACCATGAACGTGCCCTTCCAGGCCTTCCACTTCATGACCTACGAGTACCTCCAGGAGCAGCTCAACCCTCACAGACAGTATAAGCCCTCTTCTCACATGGTGTCCGGGGCTCTGGCTGGGGCCCTCGCAGCTGCAGTCACCACGCCTCTGGATGTGTGCAAGACTCTGCTCAACACACAGGAGTCCTTGGCCCTGAGCTCCGGTCACGGCCAATCTGCCCACAGACATATCTCAGGCTTAGCCCATGCTTTCCGGACCGTCTATAGGCTGGGCGGCCTGAGGGGCTTTTTCAAAGGCGTACAGGCCAGAGTCATTTACCAAATGCCCTCAACAGCCATCAGCTGGTCTGTGTACGAGTTCTTCAAGTATGGACTCACTAAACATCAGCATGACAAGAGGAGAGCGCAGACACATCTGGAGGCAGAGATGTAACGCATTTCCCCACACAAATGTATAAGCTACTGCAGAGGTTCTGTCAGCTAAAGCCAAAGACAAAAAATGAGGCACCACTGTTTCACATAAACTCGTTTTTATGACTGTGGAATTATCCTGTATTGGTTTCTTTAAGGCATTCAAAATGATTATATTGCACATTTGGTCAAACTATGAATACATGTCAAAAAACGCACAAGCTTAAATTGTATATTGTTCCAGCAGAGGGCAGTGGAATTGTAGTTTAAAAAGCTGACTAGCCAGAGTGAAGATATATGCTAATGCAGATAAATTAGTTTATTAAACGAAATAGAAGAAAGTAAGAAACTATACATAATTGTTGAATAGTTACAAATCTTTGCTAGTTATAAATGTTCCATGTTTGGCATGACAAAAGTCTTACATGGATTCATTGATAAGAGAACATCAATACATTCAAATATGTCGTTCCAAGTGTGACTCGAATCCATTCTTTTGATCCATCTTTGTTTCTGGCACTGAATTGCTTTGGCTTAATAAAATGTGTGCAGTGGATTGACTCAGCTCCTAAATAATAGTTCAAATGTTTTAATGTTTGTCATGGCTCAAAGTATTAAGTTCTATGCAAAACTCGTGAGGTTATTTTAGCATTACTTGTACAGTTAGAAAGAGCAAGTTTATTTGTATAGCTCAATAGTTTTACAAAATAAGACATCATAAAACGATACATTGATTTAAAACTTAAATGTACTTAATCATTTTTCAAGTAGAAAATGGACGAGGTATGCTTCCACCAGAAGCCAAAACCAATGTATATACAGTGCCTTGCCAAAGTATTCGCAAGGAAAGAAGCCATTTCAGGCTTCAAACAAAAAGATATAAAATTTAATTTTTTTGTCATGAATCAACAAGTGGGACACAATCGTGAAGTGGAACAAAATTTATTGGATAATTTAAACTTTTTTAACAAATAAAAAAACTGAAAAGTGGGGCGTGCAATATTATTCGGCCCCTTTACTTTCAATGCAGCAAACTCACTCCAGAAGTTCAGTGAGGATCTTTGAATGATCCAATGTTGTCCTAAATGACTGATGATGATAAATAGAATGCACCTGTGTGTAATCAAGTCTCCGTATAAATGCACCTGCTCTTTGATAGTCTCAGGGTTCTGTTTAAAGCGCAGAGAGAACCATGAAGACAAAGGAACACATCAGGCAGGTCTGAGATACTGTTGTGGAGAAGTTTAAAGCCGGATTTGGATACAAAAAGATTTCCCAAGCTTTAAACATCTCAAGGAGCACTATACAAGCAATTATATTGAAATGGAAGGAGTATCAGACCACTGCAAATCTACCAAGACCCGGCCGTCCCTCCAAACTTTCATCTCAAACAAGGAGAAGACTGATCAGAGATGCAGCCAAGAGGCCCATGATCACTCTGGATAAACTGCAGATAACTACAGCTGAGGTGGGAGAGTCTGTCCATAGGACAACAATCAATCAGTCGTGCACTTCACAAATCTGGCCTTTATGGAAGAGTGGAAAGAAGAAAGCCATTTCTCAAAGATATCCATAAAAAGTCGTTTAAAGTTTGCCACAAGCCACCTGGGAGACACACCAAACATGTGGAAGAAGGTGCCAAAATCGAACTTTTTGGCCACAATGCAAAACGATATGTTTGGCGTAAAAGCAACACAGCTCATCACCCTGAACACACCATCCCCACTGTCAAACATGGTGGTGGCAGCATCATGCTTTGGGCCTGCTTTTCCTCAGCAGGGACAGGGAAGATGGCTAAAATTGATGGGAAGATGGATGGAGCCAAATACAGGACCATTCTGGAAGAAAACCTGTTGGAGTTTGCAAATGACCTGAGACTGGGACAGAGATTTATCTTCCAACAGGACAATGATCCAAAACATAAAGCCAAATCTACAATGGAATGGTTCACAAATAGACGGATCCAGGTGTTAGAATGGCCAAGTCAAAGTCCAGACCTGAATCCAATCGAGAATCTGTGGAAAGAGCTGAAGACTGCTGTTCACAAACGCTCTCCATCCAACCTCACTGAGCTCGAGCTGTTTTGCAAGGAAGAATGGGCAAGAATTCCAGTCTCTCGATGTGCAAAACTGATAGAGACATACCCCAAGCGACTTGCAGCTAATTGCAGAAAAAGGTGGTGCTACAAAGTATTAGCGCAAGGGGGCCGAATAATATTGCACGGCCCACTTTTCAGTTTTTTATTTGTTAAAAAAGTTTAAATTATCCAATAAATTTCGTTCCACTTCACGATTGTGTCCCACTTGTTGTTGATTCTTGACAAAAAAAAATTGAAAAGTTTGAAGCCTGAAATGTGGCAAAATGTTGAAAGGTTCCAAGGGGCCAAATACTTTCTCAAGGCACTGTATATATACTGGGGTTTTTTTTTGTTTCAAAGGCAGTAAACTGCTCCGAGCGTGATGTCATACAGTATGAAGCTTTTTGACAGGATCTCTGCACAAGGAAACATAACTGTTTTGAATTAACCTAAATGTGAGTTATTGTCTCAGATTTTCATGAAGACTGTCCCTAATTTTAACTGCATGAATCTGAATCGCTAACTCCACGTAATGTCCTGATTCTGGGTTCTAGCAGGAGGCCAGTCCCTGTGCTCTTCAGAGTCCCAGTTGGTTCATATGGCACTATATGTCCCTAATGTACTTTGGTGCGAGGCCATGGAGAGACTTGTGACAAGCAGAGCTGCTTTAAAGTGTATTCTCTGAGCCACAGGAAGCTACTGCAGAGACCTGAGGACTGGACTAATGAGCTTTATGGTTCTAGTCAGGATTCGGGCAGCAGCGTTTTGAATATACTGCAGCTGTTTTACTGTTCGTTTGGAGAGATGTTATTGTTATGTTATGTTATTATAGATGTTATTGCTATCTCGGTTCATTATTACCCCTGACTTTCTGACCGCATTTATTGGGTGCTCTGTAGAGAGACTGGAGGTGACTGATTACTCTCTGTTTGTGGTTAAGTTTGTGAAGGGCTATTTACACATTTAGTCAAAATGTCTTTTTTGGGGGGTTGGGAGACTATTGGGTAAACTATAGGCTGCAGGTGTGCCAAACTATTTTGTATGACTCATGGACAAAGGCACTTCCTCTTTTACTACTCAAGGTTTGGTTCACTCATTAAGTATACCAAAAATAAAAGGCACCGGAATGAGCCGTCTTTTGTCCTATTAAAGGTACTTTCATTAGATTCTTTGTAAACTTTGTTGATTGTACCTGGTATCTTTGTTAGAGCTCAATACAAATCCGGCAATTACACACTCATAATGAAGTTGCAACCAATAAATCAGTCGTGGGAAATATTTATTTTATGATGAATATAATGATGGGTTCCTTCCTTTCCTTTTATATTAGAAACAAGCGTGTCATTTCACACAGCTAAGGTATTTCTATGGAGAGCCTTCTCACGCTTTAAGCACTAAAATCATTTATAATGTGTTATTATATAATTTATAATACATTGTGTGTTGTTTTAAAAATACAGCAACATTTCAAGCAAAGCAATAACACATGTTGTGGGTCACCACCAGGACAGTTGAGTGTATTACAAAATGGAACACAAAAATATCCACATTATTTAATATAACATTTTCTATGTACACTTTCAGGAAGCATCTGTTTGCTCCAAACCTTTGAAACTTTCTCTGATTATTATAGTTATTTGGACAATAAAAGCTATTTTGATTTGGAATAAAAACTAGTGCTGCATGTTAAATTACGATCAAATGGAAATCAAATTTTTAGTGGTTGCTAAGACCGAAGTCTGTATTTTAGATAACATTATTTCCTTTAAAAACATAGAACGATCAAACAGGCTTAGAAATACAAGGATCACAGCAAATGTAAAATAAAAAAGGCTTATTACTTAAAATATCAGCCTTAGTTTTGAGCACTATAAGTTGTGTAAAAATTATAAGTTTCCTATCTTCATAACAGAAATCGCAAATCAAAGCATAATCACAATGATTATCTGGTTACAATGAAGTAGGTTGTAAAGTCCTACTCCATTGCTGTATTATTCTCTGATAATCCTCTATCGAGCCTGAGGTACACACACAAAACACTATACACACACACACACTATACACACACACAAATACACACAGCTTACATTATGGGTACTTAATAATGTGAGTGCCTGAAGGACTGCCTCATTCACTCCTGTTCTTATCTACTTTTAATATGATGTTTGGTTTCTTTTCATGTCTTTCTTCATTTCCCAAGCCAAGTCATGTCAGTGTTATAAGTCTGCCCTGTGATGTCATCGCTTCTGTAAACTGAAGAGGTGTGTTAAATGAAGGGTTGTAAAAAGCATCAGAAATCAGATTCAAACTAAAACTTATTGTGGCTGAGTGGATAGCACTCTTGCTTCTCCTGGTCCTGGGTTACTGGGTAGGTTACTGTAGATTCCCATGATGGTTTACTGAACCAGTCGTGGCTTGAATGTCTCCAGTCGTTTGCCGTACAGAGCATGTGGTGCGGGGGAGATGTCCTGTCAACGCTGCACAGAACAAGTCAGAGAGGAAAGATCCTTCCCATCGCAGACACCAAGGCTGGAAGGTAATTCTGAACACGTACAAATTCACTCACACATCAGAGGCGGAACAGCTGCTCCAATAATGAGTTTGTCACAGATCTGAGGATGTGGGTTGAAGTTCAAGTTTGCATATTTGCTGGAATGAACTCCATAAAATGTTAAAAGAAGTCATTTGTGAGCAATATGAGATGACACAATCAAAGACAAAACGTATGAAAATGACCCAAATGGTCAAACTACTTTTTTTGGTCAAACCAGGAGATCCATTGTTGCAGAAGGTGTGGACCCCCGACACGTGCTTTGGGCTAATTCAATCATGATCAAAGGACTCAAACCTAAACACAGACTTGTCTAATGATGCCCGAGGCCTTTTGGAGTGAAGTGTGATGAACTGCAGTATTGTTACACATCACTGCAGGTGTGTCGTACTTTCTCTCCTCTGCTCCTCCTTCTGTCCACATATTGTGACAAAATGAGAGCAAGGTCATTTTCTCCATTACAGTTAGCACAAATACACACAGCCCCAGACTGAAGCTGTCCCCCAGGAGAAGGATTCCTCATGCGTGTGTGTGCAGGAGCATGCATGAGTGTGTTATGTGTGTGTGTGTGTGTGTGCAGGAGCATGCATGTGTGTGTTTGTGTGTGTGCGTGTGTGTGTGTGTGTGTGCAGGAGCATGCATGAGTGTGTTATGTGTGTGTGTGTGTGTGTCTGTGTGTGTGTGTGCGTGTGTGTGTGCGTGTGCAGGAGCATGCATGTGTGTGTTTGTGTGTGTGTGCGTGTGTGTGTGCGTGTGCAGGAGCATGCATGTGTATGTTTATGTGTGTGTATGTGTGTGTGTGTGTGTGTGTGTGTGTGTGTGTGTGTGTGTACAGGAGCATGCATGTGTGTGTTTGTGTGTGTGCGTGTGCACGTGCGTGTGCATGTCAACACAGGTGCAGTCAGGGACACTGGAAGAAACTAGCCTCCTGCCCTTTGAACTTGATCTTGAAAGAAAGCTGTCTTCCTTCCTGTCAAGAAACTTTGTGTTATGCCTCGGAGCATCAGTCCTGACAAACTAGTTCGTTTTTACACTTTCTGTGTGTGTCTTTTCATTCATTTGTATATATTGTTTTATTATCTGTAAAGCACACAATGAAAACAATTATATTATGTCAGATTGATCTGAATTTGATGACTCAGCAACCAATTTTAAATGTTTTAGTGAGTGTTAAAGTAATCTTGAGTTCATGGACAAAAGTATCCATTTCCCTAATATTGTATAACCTTTGTCCCCACAAAGTCAGACTGCATTGAAACCTTTTGAAAGAAAGACTATCTATCTGTCTGTGTATTTTTATTTTTACATATTGATGGTTTTGGGATGGCCGTCACAGCTGTTCTTCAAGATGCACCAGGTTCAAGGTCAGAATATGAATTGCTTATTACATTATTGTTCATGTTATTTAACAATAGGGTGAGAAAGAAGACCATTTGTGCTGGCTATACCTGCATGTCAAAAGAAATAGTTGGTCCTCAGAAGCTGAGCAGTGAGGGGGCTGGTTAGTTCTTTGATGGGAGATCTCTTGCCTGGCCTGCCAAACGATATGCTTTTTCAAAGACATATAGTCTGGGAACGAGCTTGACCTCAGCGAATTCCCGGTGGGCGTGGTTGACAGACTGCATCAACCAATTAGATGCACACAGGATATGACGCAGCAACTAGCGGCACCCAAGCCGTTTCAGTAAACACAAAACAAGGGATGGCGGCATGTCAGCTAGTGCAAATGTAAACGACTGCTGTCGATTTTGTAACAAAAACTTAAAGATACGAGGAGTTATTAGCAACTCAATTCCGTTGTTTGCTTCCGCCTCTAGGTGAAAGGAAGTCCCGCCTCTCGGTGCGTGATTGGACCGATGTGGGTAAAATCGTGAAATGATAGGCTAGGAAGAGGTGTCCAGACGGTTCTTCTTTTGAACAGAAAGGAGGAGTGTCTGGCAGGCCAGGCAAGGAGATCTCTGTGAACACCTGGTGCCACAGTGACTACAAAGTGCAAATTTATTTTGCCCTAACATATATTGCTTGTGATTCTGATGCATGTGTGAGTGGTGTAGTGGTAGGAGGGATTGATAGCCTTGCTTCGGTCAGTCTGCCCCAGGGGAGCTGTTCCTATAGAAGTAGCGTACGACTATGGAGTAAATGAAAATGCAGTGTTATATGGAGGCTTGAGATGTGGGGCTACATGGATAATTTGTTTAACTGATGGGAGCTGCTCAGTACCCTTCTTATCTGCCCCTTTCTTTGCTAATTAAAACATTTGAATTCCACCATCCAGTGTGGGAGCGTGTAAGGGACCACTCATAGAGCGGGAGAGAAATGTGAATGCAGATGTATTCTGCTTGTGTTCTTTGAGGGCTTCGCTGGTCCCTATAAGGGGAACAGATATAAAAACAAAGCCATTTACACACAGTAAAGTATAGTGACAGTGTTGGTCCGACTGGACCTCAGCGCTGCATTTGAGACAACTGTGAACTCATGGTTTTTTCAGCTTATTTGAAGTGAGTAGTAATTCCTAACAAGTGCTAATTTTAACATTTCTCAACAAAAAACAAAGAAGCTGCACTGTATCCACCTGTAAATCCTTGCCCTGACTGCCCTCAGAGCTCTGTGCTCACACAGATCTGTCTACAAAAGGTAAAGATGGTGGGTTTAAATGACATAAAGCTTTAAGTCTTTGTTGCAATCAATTACTCAAAACATATTTAGTAATGATAACTAGTTTAGGTTTATAGTAATCAACTGCAGAGGCTAGAATGTGACATGAACCCAAACTCCTCATAATATTTTAAACTCAAATCTTTGTGTTTCACAAAGATCAGTGCTTGGCCCAATTCTTTTCACAATCTACATGCTGCCATTAGGCAACATCATTAGAAAGTATGACAATAGCTTCCACTGCTTGCAGATGTCACAAAGCTTCACCTGTCTATGTCACCAAACCAGACAAATCAATTAGATGTGTGCCTGCATAAAAGACCTAAAAACATGGGTGACCCTAAATAATCTGCTCCTCCCGGTATAAGACAGAAATAATCTTTCATTGCCCCTTAGTCCTGGATCTAGCCCTGTCTGTCCGTGGGAGTGGATCCCTCCCTCGATGTGGGCCTCCTAGAGGTTTCTTTTCTTTTAAGGTTGTTCCTAGGAGGGTCTAAGGACAGTGGTGATGATCCAGGACACTCGACATTCAACAACATTTATGGCCTTTTTTTTTTCATTTATGAAATAATAAATGTCACTGCCCCTCATGGACCAATGGCTCTGTGTTTTTTTATCATCGCATTTCCTGTTTTGAACAGTTTTATTCTCTGATCTGTGTTTGTGAATCGACTGCTTTGCAAAGTCTTCCGAGATAAATACTGTTGTGAATTTGGGCTGCACAAGATAAATTGAATTGAATTGAAATGAACAAATTCTTGATTTGTTTTGATGATCAGTTTTTGTCATGAAATAGGATGTGTATGCTTCTCACCATGGCCATGAGTTAATCAAAGAAAATGAAATGAGAAAGTTGGTTGAGGACTTCCTGTCCATATGAGGACATAGACTTTTAACATTATTGAGTGACATTGAACACATTAACTGTAAAGGTGCTAAATAGTCTGATTTCAAAGGGAAGTTCCCCGCCACACACAAGTCTCAAGTTTAACCTCCGAGGTACTTCAAGCTGCGGTAGGCAGGATATATTGCTTCAGCATGGAGGCATCACTTTCATATTACGCTTTCAGGCGACCAGTGGTTCAAGTGGACTCAGGAAAAGCTGCACCTCAGCTCGGCTCAGGCAACTTCACAATAATATCACCTCTCTTCATCAAGCTCGGTATAAAGCGCTAAGTGACAGCTGCGTTGGTCAGTCCCTCTTAAGGCCCTTCACAGCACAGACTTAGAGGCTCCAGACTCACAGAGGCTCAAAATGGCGACTACAGATCAGATACAGGGCTTTTTTCTCAGAATATTTTACAGAAGGGGTATAAATTACACTGCTACCACAAGCCAATGTATAATGTATGAAAACATTTATTGTGTATGTACGTATTGACATTTTTTTTGAGAGGACATTTAACCATTATGAAAAAGATGGTGAAAAAACAATGTTGCAAATCAATATATGTAATCATTTATGAATCATGTAAAAGATGTCCTCTTGATGTGCCTTCTCCTTTCTCTGTTTGGTTCCTATAGTCTGCTCCGTAAAGCTCTGCTAATGGACAGTGCAGACGAGGATCCTGGGCTCTGGGTGGGCTCATCTCGGTCCCATAATCTGCTCCCTGACCTCTGCTCTGACTAACACACTAACAGACCTGCACAAGCACACTGCACTAATGCCTCTGCTTTACGGGACTTGGTAAAAGATACATTCAGTGTCAAATGTAATGCCAGGAAATAAAATGTGTTTGTGTTACCAAATTTGTATTATTATTATATTATTTTTACAATAACAACAGATTTTTTTATGTTTTGTGTACTTTATAGCAGTTGTGCACATGCAGCACTTTTGGATTTTCAAGTTGTAAATGTGCTTTGTAAATACTGTGACATTGTTATTGAAATTATGATGTTTGGAGAAGGAAAATGTTATTACTCTAAAATAAGAATTGTGTGTCATCATTCAGAGTGAACACACTGAAGACCGTTTGGTCCTATGAATGCGTTGTTTGAGCCACACTGAAAATATAGTGACGTCCTTGTTGATAGCACTGTAACATTTCTTGTGCTCTCCGCTGCACTCTGGAAACAGATTACTGTTTCTCAGAGATTATGAGCTTCCATTGTTTTTGGTTGTTTTGTTTTGAGCCTGTTGTGTCTGTTTGGCTGTGGGAAATGTATTCAGAATAACATTTTGACATGTATTTTGTTCCTCAACATCTTGATTCAAGGTGATATGTTTACTTGCCAACAATAATTTTGGTTTAATTACAACATTAGAGTTGTTGGAAGCTTCAAAATCTCAACTTACAATAGAAGAAAGGCAAACATAATAAGCATAAGCAGTGAATATGCATTGACACATTTGTTAAAATGATATTGTATAAAGCAGCATAATGCATCAGTGGTGATGGGGTCATCCTGATCTATGTTTGCCGCCCAAGGGGAGCACTGTCCTGTAGGTTTACTGTAAATGTTTACATTCCTACAAACTCTGATACCATCTAATAGTTTCTGTGGCCACACTATATTCCCCTGGGAAGGATAAGAACTTCAGTAAATGCATTAGGAAAATACACACTTTCTAATTCTATATTCAATCATGTTTCCCATTATTAAGATGGTTATAAAACTATCTTCTAATTCACTCTCAGAGCAGGCAACAGATATTAAGAGGCCATAAGTAAAATCAACATGCCTCTTGAGACAATTATTGCAGACACAAAAGATATGATACTTCCTCAACACACCTGAATGCACTGTCAATAGATGTTGGTTTTAAGTACTGTAATATTAAGAGTGCAGGCCTCACCTTAACATTCCTCTTACTCCGCTTTAGAGAGGAGAAAGAAGAAAGCACTTATACGATAAGCTTTAGATGTTATACATATTAGTTTGTGTTGACAGAGATGTTATTTGTGTTTATAATGATTGTTTAGGTATTTTTTTATTCAACTGATTGAAAATAAAATTGAGACGTCCCATAGAACATGAACCATATTCTGTTTATAATGTATAATACATGTTATCAGAATTACGTCAGATGCAGAAATTTCATCATTTTACTTATTCCAAACTTCACTGAAGATTTTTTTGTAATTAAGATACTTTGTTGCAGCTATTTACACTTTAAAAGCTGAAATACTAACAAGGTCAAATACCAAAACAATCCAAACGTACAGTTTCTTCCGGAGATTGGCCTGTCTTATCCAGCAGGGCTCCGTCTCTGACAGCAGCAGAGCGGAGGCTGCAGTACTCCGCGGTACGGGCACGGCCGTGACGCGCGCCTCTCCTCTCCAGCCCGACCGCTTCTCTTCGGACCACGGTCTCCCATCGCTTGATCTTGTACCAACGGTTCTGAAAACAGATCTTCACCTGAGTCTCTGTTAGATTTGAGATCTTTGCCAAGTTGGCTCGTTCAGATCCGGAGAGTTACCGCCGTGCGTAAAACTGACGCTCCAACTCAACTCACACACCTGCTCGCGAGAAAAGGCCGCTCGGGAACGCTTCATGAGCCTGCCTTGAGTTGAGGGTCGACGAATGAAATACATGATCCTGTCCTCCTCTCCAGCTGAAAATGTAAGGTCTACAAAACAGCACACACATATCAGTCCCCCACACTGCACAAGGGCAGCGTCATCCAGTTTAAAGAATGTCCTGCAGGAAAAAAAGAATAATGAAATCGACCACATCGAAGTTTTATTTTTCAATACGACCAAACCGAAATATACCGCCACCTTTTTTTTGCGGCGGTAATTAGAAAATCACAAATATCAATTATATTGTTTCATTCATCAAATTATCTTTGATAATATTATTATAATCAGGATTTGTTTAGAACCATAAGGTTAGAAATATGTATGTGTGAGTGAACATGAGCTTGAATAAGAGCAGGACGATTCCTCTTCATTTGCGTGCATTTAACAGATTTTCAAATAAAGTTGTAGCCAAAGATTTTGAGAATGTGTTTTTGTTATAATTTTAACATTTAATATATTATATACTTATTTCTACTTAGTCTCATGTTGTTCGTCCTTTAGTTTTCCCTCAAAATGGAATTTTCTCTTTGAACATTAAAGAAACAGAAATCGCAAATCGTAGTGCAATGTGTATCACATGTCTCAGTATTATTACTAAGCCTTACTCCTCACACTCTTATCTTTCACATACGCCTCTAGTATCGGCGTACTCACTGTTTGCGCGTGCACGCTCTGGCACGGGCTCCCTGCGGTGCGGGTGCTGCTGGTCCGTGCGCCGGGCTGCGTGTGCGACTGCTCTGAATGCGGCCCGTGGGTTGGTGGTGTGTTTCTCTGATGCCTTCTTTCCAACCTCTTCTTTCCAGAGAGTGAGAATATGCTTGATCGAAAATTTTGAAAAAAAGCAACATCATATACGCAGATGGTTGTTTTGTTTAAAATGAGGCGACTGATATCTGATGGGAAGAAAGCTGTCAAATATTCCATCAGTGAATTTTGGAATACAAAGTCATCAAACCTTCCCTTGTTACGCCCTGCACGCCAGTGTCTCTGATACATGTTTAATTGATTTTAGTGGATATGTTGTGTCGAGTCACCGAGTAAACTGTGGTGAAAATTCCATTGTACACTACAATTCACAGAGCAATCATTTTAAGATAAGAGATATACTTTATACTTTTTTATTTTTGACGGCTTTTCCATTTGAAATACTCCGCTTATGTACGTTTTTGGTCTCCATAACTGTGAATCTTTCTGTATGTCTATATGTAGTTTATTTCAGTCATTTTGTTTATGCTGAGTGTTAGTTACCATAACAACACACTGTTTACTTGCATCACTTCGCATTTAGTTTTGCTGTGTTTCATTTGCATTCACTTGAACCAAAGACAAAAACCGTATAATTGACTTAAATTTTGATATTTTTTTCAAAATCCATTAATATGAACAGGAGCCGTCGAAATGACTTCTCTTGGAGTTAGTAGTTTCAGAATTACGGACCAAATAGATGTACATGATATTTGGGGGTGGTATGATGATGAGTACGAGTATGAAGTCATAGCCATGTATGGCCAAATACATCGATATTTAGCCTAATAAGAGAAAAACCAGAGTAAATGTTAAAAAAAATATTTATTTTTAGGCCATTTGGTTGCTCGGGAGTCAGGCCTGCCGAGCTGCTATCTATGGAAGTCACAGATAGCGATCACAGCCTGTCAGGACAGCCAGGTCCAGGCTGCGTCCTGAGGCATCGCCGAGCTGTCGCCAGCACTATTTACACTAGTGACTTGTGCACTTAAGGTTGACACCAGGTATGTCCTACCGGCTCTGCACGGGCCACAGGAAATGGTCAAGAAGCCATCAGTGCAGTCTCCAGACAAGCACTCTGTTTACGTATCTATTCATATAGGCTGTAAGTGTTCACCTCCGCCTAATCCATGTTACCCATGTTTACCCCCAAAACGCACGTGCCAGAGCCCATTCTATTCTATTCTATTCTTTATTCTATTTTATATTCTATTCTTGTCCGCCCCAAAGGACTGCTCCTCTTTCGTTTTAAAGCAGGAGCCCGGGTGCATATTCGCTGTGTGAGTTCTGAGATGAGACTGTCTGGTTTATGTCTATCTCTCTAAGTTGACCGGGCATTAGGATCTTCTGTTTCTGGACCTTGTCTCACCAAACTTCCCCACAATTTTTCTCACAGAAAAGAAATGTTCGACTGAGTCCAAAAACTAAACATTAATGTCAGAGACCATGTGCATGAGAGATTTATGGATCCAAGTTTTCTTCTGCATGAAGTTCCTAATGGCCTGCACTCTCCCCCATATTTCACGTTCCCGTTATGCAAAAGCACTATTTTCGGCCTGTTTCCTATGATTAGCTCATGCGGGAGCTGATGGTCAGGGTCTGGTGCAAAGTAAATTAAAACATCAGAATAGCAATGCAGTCATTATTTTATTACTGTTATGTTGTTAAAGGGTTACACTTCATATCTACATAGAGTCCGTTGTGTGTATCGAGTCTGCACGTGCTAATCCAGAACATTGTATATTGGCCTTTAAAATGTTGGCTTAGAGAAAGACGCGCACCCGTGACCCCCCAAGTCTGTGATCATGTGCCCGAAAAGCATCAAAACATCGTCTTTTAGTTTCGTTCAGTCGCTATTTAATCGGCTATTGCCTATAACACTAGATTTCCACGAAAGGAGCATGCTCGTGTCTGTTGCTAAAGTTCAAAACAGTTCATGATGGCGGGATGCGCTACCAGGCCCGGATTCCTTGGAGAGAGCCTTGGCACGGAGGGAGCACCGGCCCCTGCGAGCTCTGCGCCTGGCCCTGTCCCAGGCCGCCCAGGCTGCCCAGGCTGCCCAGGCTCATGAAGGCGGTGGAGGTGTTGGCAGGGGGCAGGGTGGGCAGGCTGGAGTAGGTGCAGGAGTAACTGTTTGTGTAGACTGCGTTGCTGTATGTGGGATAGCTGTAGGAGTATGGCGGGTACGAGCTGCTGTAATTCTGAGATCCCGCCAGACACGGTCTCCCGTCCCGTACCAGCACTGGCACGGCCACTCTGCGCGGGGGAGGCGCTGCGTGGTGATGGTGCCCCGCCATCTCCAGAGTCTTGTCCTGGCGCTGCCGTTTGCACTTGTAGCGTCTGTTCTGAAACCAGATCTTGACCTGTGTGGAGGTGAGCTTCAAGGAGCTGGCCAGGTGCTCCCGCTCTGGTGCAGACAAGTAGCGCTGTTGTTTGAACCTGCGCTCCAGCTCGAACACCTGCCCCTGCGAGAAGAGGACGCGCGGCTTCCTCCGGGTGCGCGGCTGCTTGGACACGGCCTTGTCAGACTCCAGCTCCTCGGTCTCACTCCGCAGCGCTCCACAGCTCTCTGTGGCACAGGGACACACTCTCATCAGTTCATTGGAAAAACAAATATTATAAATATATGAATAGTTTATTCGCAAAAATGCATACGAGCCGTTAGAGAAATATTTGACAGGTTTAAAATGTACCCTTTTTGAAAAGCTTTATCTTAGCGTCTCCCCTATTTGTGCAAATCCTTTGACAAATGTGTTATTTGGAAAACAGATATGTCATTTGTTTTTGCAAATGACAATAATAATTAAATCATGATTATATGGGTTTTACACAAAACTTTCGGTCACCCCTGTTAATTATAGAGCATAAACGTGCATCTTTTCGACAGTTGTCAGCTAATTAAAAACTCAATTCGGACCAGAACTTGTATAGTTTATGGCTGCAGTTTACCGTCTCAGTAATTGTAGTTTACGTGTATGAGTTAAAATGCATGTTTAACATTTTGGAAATATTGCTTGATATTGAAAAACATGAAAAGTTATTACAAAAAAACAACAACATAAAATCAGCCTCTTGCAGACAGGCTATTTATGAATAGAAATAATACTAATCAATGCATATTAGAGCTCAAATTGTATGCGTGCATTCTGTTTTTAACGCTAGTCTGGACTGACAGATGTGTGTGTTTCCACTTCAGGACATCCAGCGCTTATGCGCACGTGAAGAGTCACAGGGCGAGATGTGTTCAAAGAACTGCATTATTCACATGAGGTGTAAATGAGTTGAGAGTCACTCACTTAAGTCTCCGTCCTCTTGTTCTGTTTCAGGCTGTGTGTGGCTGTTTCCATGGTTGAAGATATCGCACAGAGCAGACTCATGCGCGTTCACGGCGCTCAGGTAATTCAGGCGTTCGTCGCATTCGGACAGACAGGGACTGTCGGGACTGGGGCTGTTCCTGGAGGCGAGCATGCAGGACGGGGGTGAGTGTGATCGGATGCCTTTGTTCATGAAGGGCCCTGGCTGAGCCAACGCTCCTGACAGTCCCAGGCACGAAATCAGCTGCAGCTGGTGCTGGGACTGCTGCTGCAGCTCCAACTTCAAGATGTCTTTGACGGAGAAAGGCGTGGTGGATATGATTGGGCTCGGTAGCATTGTTACATCCAAAACATAAAAGTCAAGAAAACCAAGTCAAACCGTTCAATTCTTTAGGGATGTATATGTCCAAACACGCGTGCTCCGCTCCAGTGCTGCCGTGCGTCAGAAAGGTCCACCTCCAGCTCGTCTGTGTGCGTGAGTGCGTTAGTGTGGGTGTGTGTGTGTGTGTGTGTGTGTGTGTGTGTAATGAGAGGTGGATCCCGTTTGGTCGGCTCAGTGAAGTGATCTGAGACGAACAGGGTCAGCCAAGATGCTGTCTTCTCCCAGTGACGCGCTGAAGGGAGGGTCCGCTCTGCCTCTCCCTCAATAAAATCCCCCAAAGTAGTCCTAGCTATATACTTTGTTTTAGCTCTGGTAATTTGACATTTGTAAATAGTTTTGTTGGTTTTATGCTGTTTATCGGCGTGACTACATTAATGGAATAGACTTCTCAAATCAGTTTTGACTATATCTTGCTTCCTGCTGTGGATAAGATAAGTGTACTCTGTGCTCTTGTGGGAAAATGCACGGTCAAACAGAAACAGAAGAACAATATAACGTTCCAAATATATAGGCCTAGGCCTACATAGTCATAACTGCTGAAATAATAATAGTAATAATAATAATATAAATAATAATAACAATCATCTTTATGATATATCATTTAAAAATGTTTTATTATTATTATTCATATTTATTTAAAACTCCGATAACACCATAAGTAAAACGTACAATAAAAGAAAGGCTTCATCAGTAATAATAACTATAAAATGTTAAGAATAAGATTGACATGACATGGATACTGTTTGTTGGTGAATAATATCAATAGGGCACATCCAGGTAATCCATTGTGTTGATTTCGATTTGCAGCAGTGACCTGACGCTGTTGCTCCATGCATGCAGAGTGTGCGGCCTGTCTGTGCGGTGACTGTCGGGGTCCGAGCGGTGCCCGTCGCGGTCTCGCGTGCCACCGCTCCCGAGTGTTGAGCAGAGACGCGTGTTTACGGAGCGGAAGAGTCTGTTTCCTGCCTGTAACAAAACCCAGACTCACAGCAAGTGTCAAGGAGCTACTCGATGCTGCATGTGACTCCCCAATACATCATCTTCATTTCCAAATCTGAGCGATAAGAGGTAAGGTCAGACTCCATAGTCACCGGTGATAGGCCTCATACACAGCCCGTTACATATCTTATTAGCCCTGATGTTCTAACCATGTGTTTTTAACTACTAAGCCGACATTAGATCGGGATACTTTAATGTTGGCCAGTGGAGTTGTATGTTTCTGTACACACGGGCAAGTTTCTTCATGCCTCTTTTTTGCTCCTATCTGTTTCTGCGACTTGTTGAAGCAACGTCTTTTTGCAGAAGGGCAGGTGTAGAATAACTATTGTTTTAGTCCATGTCGTCTCAGAAACAATAAATTTCGTGATGAAAGAGTTGAACCGTTGAAGTCTTTAGGCCCTGAAGACTTATTTTAACCTTTTTTGCATTGCTTTTATAATTGCATTGTTGGTAATTTAATTTTCAGGAAGTATAATGCTCTTTTGGCTAAAGAGCAAAGCTGACATCCACAACAAATCCTTTCTCTTTTAAGAAGATTAGGGTTAACAGTGTTGGGCATCATCTTTCACAAAGAAAAGTGCTTTGGTGTGGAGATACAACCACAACCTTGACACCAGGAATAGGAAAACCCTTTTTTCTATTAAAACTGCAGGGCTCTCTGTGCTGTTCTTTCCTTGAGCCTTTGGTGAGGTGATGGCAAAGGCCCAAACCTCTTTGTGTCTGTAGCTGCTCTGAGTCGTTCCATGTCCCGGAAGGTAAGTCTTATCAGCGCTCAGTGTGGTGGTGTCAGTAGCCAGGGCCGAGGCGCTGCTATTGTGCCGCTGCCTGAGCTCGAGTGACGGATGACAGAGGCTTCTCACCAGAGGAAATCAAGAGGCCATGAAGGCGAGCCCAGGATTCATTTTTACTCTAGCTCTGCTCCCACATTTATACCTTGAGTTTCTCACCTTTCATATTAATACAGCAGCAAAAGACACAAATAAATCTGACCGTTTTACAAGGTAAAGTCCTATTTTTAAATTCTTGTTGGCATTGGTCTTTCTTTGAGGATTCAATCTCTGGGACCAGGAGGAAGTGAACTTGGTCTGGCAGTCTGGGTCCCCTGGCCTCTGGCCTCCCTTGGGTGCTATAAATTAGCCTGCTGTAATTCTCCTTCGGACGGCCTTGCCCCTGCAGGTGTGTGTTTGTATATGTGAGCCCCAACAGGAGGGTGTGAAGACTGTGATCTACGGTGTTGGGAATGCAGCTCTGGAGGAAGCTCGCAGCCTAAATATGCTTATCCTCTCTGCTTCCACACAGAGCCATAGAGATTACACACACAGGGCGGTGCATGTGGATGAAGGATCTCTTATGGCCTCAGCTCCTTATGTGTTCTCCTGTTTACGTTCCGTTGCATTAATGCAGGTTTTAAAAATAATGTGATGCATGATTGGAGTTCACTTTAGGTTTAAGGGAAAAACTGTAATCAGTTAAACAGCCAGGAAACTAATTCAAATTGTTTTGTTACTTTTGATAACTGACTTTGACCTTTGACCTCTGTCATTGTGTAGAAGCACGGTGGGTTTTTCCAAGTTCAAACTATAATATATACACCACTGCCACCTTTAAACCCACATGTTCAAACAATGGCACACAGTTAATATAGAGCATGTTCCAAAGTGCTGTTTTAACGTCTATTTCCGAAGGATCATACAGTTGATTTGTCTTTGACATTTTTGTGATTTGATTTGATTGTATATTTGTTTCAAAGTTCTCTTGTTGGGAATTCTATATTTGACATACTGTATCACGATGCTCAAAGTGAAGTTTCGGTTAACTTTGTGTATAGTATATGAATGTCTACTGTATGACTTGAGGATTTGAACTTGCCGAGCGTATGGAATGCTGTCAGACGCTTCCCTTGATGTGTAGCCTGCATGCTTCATCTGTCAGTGCACTACAGAAGGAGGACAGGGAGGTCTGTTGTGGCTGTGTCTCGCCGCTTGTTGGAGAATTGATGGCATTGTCTTTGAAAAACAAACAAGGAGGGAAGCTAAAAAGGTGGTCACTCACCACAAAGCTGTGACCCAAAGAGACCAAGGCCAGCGCAACATGTGAGCCGCACAGCAGCGTGGCTGGGGAATGTGTGTGCACACGCTCGTGTTTGTGTTTCTGTGATGCCTCTGCAGGAATGTGACTGACTTGTGTCTGAATGTGTGCCTTTGTGTCCTTTAATGACAATCTTACCCTACAACCCACAACATGCATGCAGAATGAAAACACCATTGGACTTTGTTGGCACAAGCTATATATGTCATGGAGGCAGTTGCCAAAGTAAATGTGGTGTGTGTGTGAATGACAGAAAATGCAGGGAGCGATGTGAATGTCTAATGTAGTCTCTAAATGGTACATGCACTTGTCTGTGGGCACCGTCTTGCTGGAGGCACTTGCCTGTCAGTTTCTGCTCTGACTCACTCCTCACATCAGCACAGGCCGAGGCCCCAGGGCCGCACCAATATGTAGCAGCAAACCCTGTTTCGGCCCCCAGCCTTGTTCACAGAACTCAAATCCGATAATTGGAGAGCTGACAGTGATAGCTAACATACGAGACACCCTCACCTGGTCGGAAAGAATGAAAACATCTACTGTCAAAGTGAAGGCAGGGAGTGAGTGGGGGTGATCCAGGTATGGAGCAACAGTCATTCCCTGCAGAAGCACTGATTAGAATCAAATACATTATACATACAACACTTAAGTTCTAATCTTGTCCCAGCCTAAATGGTTTATTTCTAATCATTATTATTAGGCTTTTGTCTCTGTGTGTATGTTCAACCTTTCGCTTTTAGAAAGGACTTCTTTTTTTACTAGTAGGTTAGGGTGGAACTCTGTCTCATGGGAGGAGCTTGGTGTAGAGCCACTGCTCCTCCAGTTGAGGTGTGCATCTATTTCGCATGTCTCCATATGTCTGATTGATCTTTCGTTAAAACAACCAGTCTATTGGTCAGCCATCAGCATCACTCACATGTAGGCTCATATGGCAATGTGGGCAAAGTCTCTTTCACAATGACTATTTGGCACTTGGTGTTCCCAGAGGTCTCCCAAGACCCCCCCATAGATTCTTAGGTATATGCCAAGGAAAGACTTTCACATGCTGGCGCCACAATAGACTTATTAAGATTAATAGTATGCAACTATTGATACATATTGGGCATTTTCTGACAAAAATGTTTATCAATCCTATAATGTTGTAAAAAAATCAACTCACAGAGAAGAAAACAATTAACAAAACATGTAAAAGTTTATGGCGACATCTGAATCTGTAAGAACGGCAAACCAAACTAAATGACAGAGATTTTTTTTTTGGAATATGGAGTTATTTGACACTTTCACCAAATTCAACAAAGTATATCTCATTTCAACTAGCTTCACAGTCTCGCTATAGCTAGAACGATTGACAATTGTACCTTTTATAATGTTTTAAAGTATTTACAAAAGTACAAGAGTAGTTGTTTACCCCCGATTATAGAGTCTGACAAGAGCCGATGCCAGGCAATGAAATCTTTAATTATGGAAAATCGATTCACAATTCAAATCTATTTCCCACAACAACAAAAAAGAAATATGTCCGAGGCTTCTGATTGTTGAAAATGTAGAATGCATTTATTTATGAAAGCATGAATGTGTTTGGACTGTAGCATCTGCTCACGATATTGTAAAAAATATATTTCTATCGCTTTTTTAAAAAGTGCAATAAAGGGAATGGCAGATTTGGCGCTTTAATAACATCATTTTAAAGCTTGTGACTTTATCCATTTTCTAGCCATATGAATTGATTCAACTTACCAATAGATTTTGGAATTAAATACATGTTCCCAATTCTAGTCCTGTCCTATTTTGGATAAGTATGTCTAATAAAAGTAGTTTTTTATTGTTGATTCAGTGTTGTAAATGTGTCAGACCAATGTGGTGTGAGAGACGGTAGAAGATATCCTTATCTTAAACAACCTATGTCTCTAGTGCATTTTAAAAGTCCCTCATAGAGCAGCCCGGACTAGCTTTAATATATCAACCACTTGATGTCCTGCAGACAGCTGTGGAGAGAGCTGGGAGCCCGCCTGTTTACACCAGGACGTCTTTGCACACAGTTATGCACTCACTCAAACTCTGATGGACCTGTAGAGCACGTGTTTCGACTTGTTTTAAATGACTATTGTTGGTTCCTTCATAAGGCTCTGTGTGCCATTTTACTAATCCTTAACATGGGGCAGATTTGTCTATGGATCACCCAAACACAGTATTTTATTCAGCAGACCTACTAAAGTAAAGCTGTGGCTCCATCTCGTGGCAAGACGCGGCACTGCATGGAGAGCGTTGCACTTGCTGCACCAGTATCTCTGGCAGACTACAGCTGATGGAACTTTGCCCCATATATCTTATCCGTTCTCGTTGGTTTGTCAGTAAAGGAGTGTGTTTTTGTTTCCTCCATTGGTTAATCCGCTAACACCCACCACGCGCACGTCAAATCCCGCCAACGTGAGCCCCCCGCCCCCACCTCCGCTGGTGCGTATAAGGCGCTCACCACACTGCAGGTCCCTCATCTTCACCTTTCTACAGAAATGATGTCTGTGTTCTGTGAAGTTCCTCAAGCTGCCCCCGTGGCTGTCTTCAAACTAACCCAGGACTTCAACAACGACCAGTTTCCAAATAAAGTCAACCTTGGAGTTGGAGGTAGGCCTTCCACTGTGATATGTCATGATCTATTTTGTTATCTTATGGTTCTTTCACATTACTTCTACGTAGTTAATGAGATAATGAATAACCAACGATCCCGTTAGCTTCCATTCTGTGAACCGTTGGCTACAATTCTCACAGTTTGTCACAATATGCAAATAGCAAGCTCATTAAAGCTCATAATTAATTTCCTCCAGAGTGTTACATTGTTTTTGAGAATACATCAGTTTTGTTATGCAACCACCAGCGTGAATAGTCACTATACAATCACAGCATTGCTCTCTGAGCTTTCCACCAGCATGAGTAATCTCACTGTATCCGGGCTGTGATTGGATTAGTGCAACATGACGACAAAGCTATTGCATACTGTATGTACATGTTCATCACGCTTGTATTCCCTACTCCTTCAGATCATGCAATATTCATGTTTACTTGGTCTGTTGATTAAGAGTGCAAGAGTGCCTTTATTAGTGGAGATAATCCCCTTCTTCAGTCGAAGCAACAAAGACAAACAAGATGTCACTTTGCAGAGCTACTTGCAACATGGTTAGGGTTTTAAAAATGTATAAGAAGAACGATGCTGACCTGAAAAAGTATGCCAATGAACCTGTCCATGTCTCTGACTGAGTTAGTTTTATATAATCTCTCATCTCAACCATACAGATAACTGCCAAGCTTGTTTTTTATTGTCCTTCCCTGCCCATATACAATGGTAGGTCTAATCCTCTTTTGCAGCCTACAGGACAGATGAAGGCCTACCTTGGGTTTTGCCCGTGGTGAAGAAGGTGGAGAAACTCATTGTCGAAGATGACAAGTTAAACCATGAATATCTCCCGATCCTGGGTTTGCCTGAGTTCAGGTCCTCTGCCTCTAAGATTGTCCTGGGAGATGACAGTCCTGCGATCAAAGAAAACAGGGTCAGTGCATTGAAAATACAATACTTGTAATCCAGGTGTAAGTAAGTGAAGAATGACGTCTTTTTGACAGGTGGGCGCCGTTCAGTGTTTGGGAGGCACAGGCGCTTTGAAGATGGGGGCAGACTTTCTGAGACGCTTCTATAATGGAAATAACAACTCCAAAACTCCTGTTTATGTGTCAGCTCCAACATGGGGTAAGTTTAACCATGCTATATTGTCATTTTAGACAGATAGTGTGGCAATGTAAGTCTTCTGTCTATTTCAGAAAATCACAATGCTGTTTTTACAAATGCTGGATTCGAGGATGTCCGTCCATACAAGTATTGGGATGCCGAAAAGAGAGGTCTTGATTTAACAGGTTTTCTTGGTGATTTGGAGGCAAGTTATGGCTTTTTGTTAATTTGTTCATCAACTCTTGCACTTTTGAATTACTTCTGTGTCTAATAGACTTGTCCAGAACGCTCCATATTTGTCTTGCATGCATGTGCCCATAATCCAACCGGCACTGATCCCACACCAGAACAATGGATGCAAATAGCAGCAGTAATGATGGTAATGCAAATGCAGTCTCACATGCATCAATACCTTTCCTCATCTAAACAAGACACTTCTGTTCTTCCCAGAGGAGGAAGCTGTTTGTCTTTTTTGACTCAGCGTACCAGGGATTCGCTTCAGGAAATTTGGATAAAGACGCGTGGGCTGTGCGTTATTTTGTTTCTCTTGGATTTGAGATGTTTTGTGCCCAATCTTTTTCTAAAAACTTTGGCCTATACAGTGAGTGGGAGGGAAATGTTTGAAACGGCTCAGTCCTTGTTGTAATGATGAACTATTTGTCTTTCAGATGAACGTGTTGGAAACTTGACAATCGTGGCCCGGGACGTTGATAACCTCAAGAGAATATTATCTCAGATGGAGAAGATTGTGAGGACAACGTGGTCCAACCCGCCCTCACAGGGAGCGCGTGTGGTAGCTGTAACCCTGACCTCCTCTTCGCTCTTTCTGGAATGGTCAGTGGTTTTGTTTTGCATGCACATGAATGAAAAGGCGATTAGGTTTATCAGGAAATGTAAATGTCCGTAGTGCTGATGCATGATGATCTTCATATGTTGGTGGGTTTTCTTTGGGCCTTCCAGTTTCTTTTAAAATAAACATGCTCGTGTTGGACCATAGCTGGAGGATTTATCTACCGTGCATGTTTTTTAGTGGTAGGAGAAACCGGAGCACCAGGAGGAAACCTACACAGACCCAGAGAACTTGAAAACTCCTCTCAGAAAGGCCCTGTTCCGACGGGGATTCGAACCCAGGATTTTCTTGCTGAGAAGCGAGAAAGCTATCTACTCAGCCACCATGCCGCCCTAACCTTAACCTTAACCAATTTGACTCTTCCTAGTCCCTCCCCTAAACATAACCCTAAACTGATTGTGATACACATTCCATTAAAAATAATAGTCACAAAAGAAATCAATAGAACAGAACATTTTGCACGGGATGAAACATATGCATCTTTGAAAGAAGACTTAATCTTGTGTGAAAACTTTGATTGATTATTAGTGAGTGATGTCTGTTTTGTCTTTCTATGATCTTCTACATGTCAGCATATGTTTTTGATGATTCAGTGTCTCTGCTTGTTGGCTGGTTGTGTATGGTGTCCCAGCGCGTAGTATTTGACACCATCGCTGATCTTTGTGTTTTGTGTGTACGTGATCCAGGAAGGACAATGTGAAGACGATGGCCGACCGGGTGTTGCTGATGAGGAGCCATCTGAAAGCTCAGCTCCAGGCTCTGGGGACACCAGGGACATGGGACCACATCACAAACCAGATTGGCATGTTCAGCTTCACTGGCCTCAACCGTAAGAACAGCTGATCTCTGACCTGCGTATAGCCCTAAGTGTATTCATAATATGTCAACTCATGTATTTTTGTAGCGAGACAAGTGGAGTACATGGTGAAGGAAAAGCACGTCTACCTAATGGCCAGCGGGCGAATCAACATGTGCGGGCTGACGAGCAGAAACATCAACTACGTAGCCCAGTCCATCCATGAAGCCATCACCAGAGTCCAGTAGAAATGTGCACTGGGAAGCACCATTTTCTGTAATTTTATATTTATTTGCTGTCAAAAATTATCCCATACAGTCAAATATGATGATGTCTTCTGGTAATCTACATTCTGTTGCATGTTCTTACAGCGAAAAAAAAATACATAAAATAATGCATATTGCCACTATATCCTGTAAGACAAAATAATAAATAACTGCCCTTTCCATATCTTCTCCACTCTGTCTTCATTTATATTTTTCATGGTTTGCTGTGTCAGCAGTTTCAGTTCAGCAGTTTCAAGGACTTCAGCAGTTTCAAGGACTTCAACAGTTTCAAGGACTTCAGCAGTTTCAAGGACTTCAGCAGTTTCAAGGACTTCAACAGTTTCAAGGACTTCAGCAGTTTCAAGGACTTCAGCAGTTTCAAGGACTTCAGTGTGTAATCATGCATTGAACCTAATAGGGATTTTTCCATGTAAACCAGTATAATGCAACTTAATAGGGATTTTTCCATGTAAACCAGTATAATGCAACTTAATAGGGATTTTTCCATGTAAACCAGTATAATGCAACTTAATAGGGTTTTTTCATGTAAACCAGTATAATGCAACTTAATAGGGTTTTTTTTCATGTAAACCAGTATAATGCAACTTAATAGGGATTTTTCCATGTAAACCAGTATAATGCAACTTAATAGGGATTTTTCCATGTAAACCAGTATAATGCAACTTAATAGGGATTTTTCCATGTAAACCAGTATAATGCAACTTAATAGGGTTTTTTTCTTGTAAACCAGTATAATGCAACTTAATAGGGTTTTTTTCATGTAAACCAGTATAATGCACCTTAATGGGGATTTTTCCATGTAAACCAGTATAATGCAACTTAATAGGGGTTTTTACATGTAAACCAGTATAATGCAACTTAATAGGGTTTTTTCCATGTAAACCAGTATAATGGAACTTAATAGGGATTTTTTCCTGTAAACCAGTATAATGCAACTTAATGGGGATTTTTCCATGTAAACCAGTATAATGCAACTTAATAGGGGTTTTTACATGTAAACCAGTATAATGCAACTTAATAGGGTTTTTTTCATGTAAACCAGTATAATGCAACTTAATGGGGATTTTTCCATGTAAACCAGTATAATGCAACTTAATAGGTTTTTTTTTTACATATAAACCAGTATAATGGAACTTAATAGGGTTTTTTCCATGTAAACCAGTATAATGCAACTTAATAGGGATTTTTCCATGTAAACCAGTATAATGCAACTTAATAGGGTTTTTTTCATGTAAACCAGTATAATGCAACTTAATGGGGATTTTTCCATGTAAACCAGTATTATGCAACTTAATAGGGATTTTTCCATGTAAACCAGTATAATGCAACTTAATAGGGTTTTTTCATGTAAACCAGTATAATGCAACTTAATAGGGTTTTTACATGTAAACCAGTATAATGGAACTTAATAGGGGTTTTTACATGTAAACCAGTATAATGGAACTTAATAGGGGTTTTTACATGTAAACCAGTATAATGCAACTTAATAAGGATTTTTACATGTAAACCACTATAATGTAAACTAATAGGGGTTTTTACATGTAAACCAGTATAAAGCAACTTAATAGGGATTTGTACATGTAAACCAGTATAATGCAACCTAATAGGGATTTTTCCATGTAAACCAGTATAATGCAACCTAATAGGTTGCATTATACCACCAGACCAAGACCCAAACGAAGACTCAGACCACCACCAGATAATGACCACAGACCAGGTTTCCTTAGTTACAGGAACCAAATTGTTTCAGCGGTGAGGGGATTTTTCAGTTTCAAGGACACTTTCAATACATTCAGTAGTTTCAAGGATTTCAACTGTTTAAGAATGTAACCAGTTTCAAGGATATCAGGAGGTTCAAGGATTTCAGGAGTTTCCACACTTTCAACAGTTTCCAGGTTTAAAAAAGTTTCAAGGATTTCAGGAGTTTCAATGTTTCAACAGTTTCAAGGATTTCAGGAGTTTAAAGGTTTCAACAATTTCAAGGACTTCAGGAGTTTCAAATATCTATCAAGTATTTTAACAGTTTCAAGGCCTTTTAAAGGATTTCAAGGATTTTTTTTAGCAGATTTCCACATTAGATCTGTTCCGCAGTCAATCGCAATGGCTTCAGCCATTGCAAGTTTCTAGCCTACAGGACAGATGAAGGCCTACCTTGGGTTTTGCCCGTGGTGAAGAAGGTGGAGAAACTCATTGTCGAAGATGACAAGTTAAACCATGAATATCTCCCGATCCTGGGTTTGCCTGAGTTCAGGTCCTCTGCCTCTAAGATTGTCCTGGGAGATGACAGTCCTGCGATCAAAGAAAACAGGGTCAGTGCACTGAAAATACAATACTTGTAATCCAGGTGTAAGTAAGTGAAGAATGACGTCTTTTTGACAGGTGGGCGCCGTTCAGTGTTTGGGAGGCACAGGCGCTTTGAAGATGGGGGCAGACTTTCTGAGACGCTTCTATAATGGAAATAACAACTCCAAAACTCCTGTTTATGTGTCAGCTCCAACATGGGGTAAGTTTAACCATGCTATATTGTCATTTTAGACAGATAGTGTGGCAATGTAAGTCTTCTGTCTATTTCAGAAAATCACAATGCTGTTTTTACAAATGCTGGATTCGAGGATGTCCGTCCATACAAGTATTGGGATGCCGAAAAGAGAGGTCTTGATTTAACAGGTTTTCTTGGTGATTTGGAGGCAAGTTATGGCTTTTTGTTAATTTGTTCATCAACTCTTGCACTTTTGAATTACTTCTGTGTCTAATAGACTTGTCCAGAACGCTCCATATTTGTCTTGCATGCATGTGCCCATAATCCAACCGGCACTGATCCCACACCAGAACATGGATGCAAATAGCAGCAGTAATGATGGTAATGCAAATGCAGTCTCACATGCATCAATACCTTTCCTCATCTAAACAAGACACTTCTGTTCTTCCCAGAGGAGGAAGCTGTTTGTCTTTTTTGACTCAGCGTACCAGGGATTCGCTTCAGGAAATTTGGATAAAGACGCGTGGGCTGTGCGTTATTTTGTTTCTCTTGGATTTGAGATGTTTTGTGCCCAATCTTTTTCCACAGGGAGCGCGTGTGGTAGCTGTAACCCTGACCTCCTCTTCGCTCTTTCTGGAATGGTCAGTGGTTTTGTTTTGCATGCACATGAATGAAAAGGCGATTAGGTTTATCAGGAAATGTAAATGTCCGTAGTGCTGATGCATGATGATCTTCATATGTTGGTGGGTTTTCTTTGGGCCTTCCAGTTTCTTTTAAAATAAACATGCTCGTGTTGGACCATAGCTGGAGGATTTATCTACCGTGCATGTTTTTTAGTGGTAGGAGAAACCGGAGCACCAGGAGGAAACCCTACACAGACCCAGATAACTTGAAAACTCCTCTCAGAAAGGCCCTATTCCGACGGGGATTCGAACCCAGGATTTTCTTGCTGAGAAGCGAGAAAGCTATCTACTCAGCCACCATGCCGCCCTAACCTTAACCTTAACCAATTTGACTCTTCCTAGTCCCTCCCCTAAACATAACCCTAAACTGATTGTGATACACATTCCATTAAAAATAATAGTCACACAAAAAATCAATAGAACAGAACATTTTGCACGGGATGAAACATATGCATCTTTGAAAGAAGACTTAATCTTGTGTGAAAACTTTGATTGATTATTAGTGAGTGATGTCTGTTTTGTCTTTCTATGATCTTCTACATGTCAGCATATGTTTTTGATGATTCAGTGTCTCTGCTTGTTGGCTGGTTGTGTATGGTGTCCCAGCGCGTAGTATTTGACACCATCGCTGATCTTTGTGTTTTGTGTGTACGTGATCCAGGAAGGACAATGTGAAGGACGATGGCCGACCGGGTGTTGCTGATGAGGAGCCATCTGAAAGCTCAGCTCCAGGCTCTGGGGACACCAGGGACATGGGACCACATCACAAACCAGATTGGCATGTTCAGCTTCACTGGCCTCAACCGTAAGAACAGCTGATCTCTGACCTGCGTATAGCCCTAAGTGTATTCATAATATGTCAACTCATGTATTTTTGTAGCGAGACAAGTGGAGTACATGGTGAAGGAAAAGCACGTCTACCTAATGGCCAGCGGGCGAATCAACATGTGCGGGCTGACGAGCAGAAACATCAACTACGTAGCCCAGTCCATCCATGAAGCCATCACCAGAGTCCAGTAGAAATGTGCACTGGGAAGCACCATTTTCTGTAATTTTATATTTATTTGCTGTCAAAAATTATCCCATACAGTCAAATATGATGATGTCTTCTGGTAATCTACATTCTGTTGCATGTTCTTACAGCGAAAAAAAAAAATACGTCCAGATGCGCACCTTGCACAGACGTCGTTTGGACGTAAATAAAAGGTCACGACCGACCGACGCGATATTGACGTGATCTGGAGGTTGAGTGGACGTCGGATGTTTAGTGGGGTTTGTCAAGAGTCAATTTCAAATTCCCCATCTTCATGTTTGCGGATTGGCCACTGAAGATATTTACCAAGCTAACGGCTTCAAACCGGTTTTCCTCTTATCAAAGCCACACACAAATCAATATATTTGTACGTAAGCCTGCTTTGGTTCTGATCAAAGGTTCATTGTAAATGATAATGTTGAAATCATTACATCTGGAATAATAAGAGAGATTGAGCCCAGCACTTTTGGAAAACTGTGCCACCGAGCGGCATGGAATTATACCAGAAATCAGACATTTTGATAAGAAAATTTATTGCATTTTATCTACAACAATGGCTTGGCAGTAGTTCCCTTTTGAATATAATATTCTGTGCGCCCACTTAAAACAGCAAACATATTAATTTCTTTACTTCAGTGCTAGTAACATTAAAATATTTGATAGAACTTTAATAGGAATGACACAATGTAAGGTCGAGAGACAAAAGTGCAAGCAGATCATCCTAGAAGCATGCAGAAGCTAAAACATGCGTTTGGATAAAGGAGGAGTTGTACAGTGACAGCAGCATACATAAACATGCAAACAGTAGCTTATTGTTGAGAGGCTTTTCTTATCCACCTTAAATGACCTGTACAACAGAAATCTGAGACAGAGACGGCTCCAGAGAGCCAGATCTACTGAACCAACTAAAATAACAATAGTCGAGATCCAAAGGATATATTGAATTATGGGAGGAAATATAAACAAAGTTTAGAACACTTTTCACCATTCAGATTTGGTCTGCTCTGTTATATTGCTACTATTGATCAAGTATTGCAAATTAGCAACATCAATAAAAATGGTGTAGTTTAATATGTAGTTTGTTGTTAGTCAGGAAGGTATCAATCATGGCTTCTTATCGTATAAACGTTGGTTCTATTGTGCTCTGCAGATAGTGGCTTTTCCCTTTAGTGTACTGCTTTAAGTCGACAGTAGGTGGCACCATTGAGGTAAAATCAGTGCAAGTTCTTGTGCAAACTTGGCTATCAGTGATTTATGAGAATAGCCACAAATATGATGTCATTTATATTATCACAAATCATGCTCATTCAAAAGAGTTTTTTTCAACATCTGAATAATGTTGACATAGCTACTTAAAAATAGGATTCGTTCTCTTTCTCAGTAAGTTAACTATTGTAGAATCATGCACAGCTGTGAAAATCAGCTAAACTTGATTATAAGAGACGTTTTCATTTTGTATATCACTTCATTATTTTAGGCACGCACAGGTGGGACAGTGTGGACCTGAGAATCAGTGGCTACAGTCAGGAGGAAGGCCCGTCTCCTGTGAGGCTGTGGTCAGGTGTGGTCAGGGTCAGCCTGGGCTCATGGGCACTACAGCTGCATCCAAACTCATCAGATCATAAAGGAGAAGGAAAATACAAGATCTTTAAAAGCTGAGGTACCTAAATAAAACATGTTGTTGTGCTAACAAATCAGTCCACAACATGCCGTCTTCTTCTTATTAAAGAGAATACTGTAGAGCCCTGTGAGTCACTATTTGATGCTTTGGGCTGAGGGCCGACTGGCAGAGTGAGAGTTGTCCTCTCTTTTTAACTTTTCAGAAAAAGCTGATTTGCAGAAAATAGTGTTAGAACTAGTTAGATGTGGTTTGAAAATAAGGTACCCCAGCTTTAATTCACAGGCTACAGTAGCTCCAGGTTTGGTCAAGTGAAACTGAAGATATATTAAAGGCTTTTTAAAAGTTACTTGTGCAAAATGAACACTGCCTAAGTTGAAAAAGGTGATATGAGTCAGATTCAGATGCAGCCGATGCAGCAGTGATGGTGCAGAGGAGAGCCTTCTTTCCCCTGGAGCCTCTGTTAGCTTATCACGGGAGACTCCTCTGTTGCTTCCTCTAAACTCTGCTCTTCGTCCAGAGACTTTTTTCTCTTCTTGTTGCCTAGAAACAGAGCAGACCTTGATGAGTTTTACAACATATGCGTATATTGTGCATGTTTGCCACTTTAAAATGTTTCTTAATGTTGAAAGTAGGCAATAAGTGGTTTAGCGACAGTTTTGGTTTGGTTTCATAAAGACTGGTACATGTTGTCTGTCCCAACAGAGCCCATACTACATCTACGTCTTTATCTTAATGGAAAGCATTTCATATTTTACATAATAACCTGTCTTGATGTGACTGAGGCCAAAGATGTATGAATGTGATAACTAGTGACAGAACCAAACTGTTTTACTTGGATTTGAATATGAGTTAACTATACTGTATATAATATTGTTAATTTTAGTGGATTCAAAGTTAAATACTTAGGCTTTGGCTATCAAAACTGGATTATAAGTCCAGTCAAATTATTTCTATTGATTATTTGGGATAATTATTTAAAATAATATGTACGTGTATGTTATCAATGTGTGTGTGTGTGTGTGTGTAAAATAATAATAATACCACCTTCCTTGTTATAAATAAAATACTTATCGTACTTGCTTTGTGTGTGTATTGTGTATAGCCTTGCATTAAGAGTGTGCAGCCCCTGCAATAAGAGAGTTGGACAAAAGCAGCTGTTGCTACGATACATCCAACTCGGATCTTTGACCATGAAGTCCGAGCACGCGTGTGACGATATGAAGCGTGTGCACTGAACACTGATGATCAACTCATGATAAACATCTTACTTAGTTTATGCAGAAGCTTCTTTCCAACAGTTTCCTCTGAGCTTGACAGAGACAAGGAGCTGATGAAAGGGGAGGTGCACGGTGGTGAGTCTGGCACATCTGAAGAGGAAGAACTTTACATGTCACATTTTTAGGAGTAAGTCTATCTTCCTGATCGTAAAGCCACTGACCGATGTCATAATTTTCAGGTCGGTCTTCATGAATATAAGGAATCTCTTCCATGCGAAGAAAGACACTGTCGTTTGGGCTCCTCTGGCCGTCAGATTTACTGCCTATGAAAAATAAAATACAGAACCAATGACGAAAGAGTATGAACACATTTTAATGATGAGACTGAAAGAAAGTTACGTTAATCAATGTAAACAAAATGTTTTCTTTATGAAATTTTGGGGTAGAATAATTCAAAGACAACTCCTTGGCAGAGTTAATGATTGATGAAAGTGAAGCATTTATGGTGAAAATCTCTAACTTCAGTTACTGCAATAAAAACATGGGTAATGAGGGTCATGTTGTATATGTCTCATCAGTATGTAAAGTCCAACTTTTCTGTGCGTATGACAACAAAACCATCTGTGCAGAGAATCTTGATGACACAGTGCTGTGTTGCACAGAGGGAGACAGATGGAACGTGGGAAATCCTTTAAGCCTCAAACCAGTGCACTTTGGCTGTTTGTGTTTGCACTACTTTTGTGGCAGATTTAGTTTAAACTGACTCAGTGCTCAGTCTAGAGATCATTATGTCAGCAGTATGTAGTTTTTCCATTTTGTGTGAAAGTTGCAGATTGTGGGCAAGGCCTTTGGACACATCAAACATATTGTTGGTGGTCAAGCGGACTCTTGAATTAAAGGTTAGGTATACTTTTGACCCTGTAGGGAAAATTGTCCTCTGCGAAGGACTCCTGATTCCACATGGCCAACTTGCCAGGAGCAGATAGACTCATTTCCGGATGATGCTTCCGTCAGGACATACTGTGGCTTGGAAAAGTATTCATACCATACCTTTTCACATTGAAAAAGTAAACAAATGTGAATGATACATGAGAGAAATTCTTATTGTCAAAAAGAGAACTCAAAATGTTCATGAGACATGACACATGGAGACAAATGTCCACAACGAGAGGCCCGGGTCGCCACAGGATAGAACCCACAAACTTCTTTCTGTGAGGCCTGTGATCAGGGCACCAGGCCATCATGCGCCTGGGACAAAATATATCAGGGCACCTCTTTGACACTTGAAGAGAGCCTCACAGTGAACAAGTGTGCAGTGAAAGTAGTCACAATTTTTTTTTTACTGAATTTTAAAAAGTGTATTTTGGACCAATATTGCACACTTTGACCCCAATTTATTTTTCCAAAGAAAAAGTGAATATTACTTTGCACAGTAGCAGAGGGCATCACAGAAGTGTGCAGTGACAACTCATCGGCTCATCCCCGCGGCTTCCCTTTCCACTTTTATTATCAGTAACAGCCAAAAGGGACCACTCGCCTTTAATGTGCAGTCCCCATTACCTCCCAAGACTTATTTAGTAAAGTCTGTGCAACATTCATTACCCCTGCCTCTGTATGGGGGCAGCTGGTGATACATTCATGGTTGTGTTCCACTTACGGACAATGCGGTTCCTCTCATTCAGGTGTGTGGTGCTGTGCAGCGCCCCGTGTGGATGGAGGCGTGCGAGGCGGGCCAGTCCAAGCCGAGTGTGTGCGTGCGTCAAGGGCAGAGCGATGCTGTGGGAGCGTGCCTCTGGCACCGGGGCCATGGGGTCTGGGGTCTGAGGAGAAGTGTCCATCTGACTGGCTGTGATGGCGTTCTGATAGTGGCTCCTCGTGATCTGGACAAACACATGTGTAAATCCTTCCACGTAATGTGGCTTACACCAGAAGGAAGTGTGAAGCCATCAGAACGAGTTCTGCTCAGGAGCACAAAAGAAACTTCCACACTGATCAAAAAACACTATAATTTGATACATTACATTTTTTAAATTCTGTTACATAATATCAAAGAACAGAGCAGAATGTTAGAAAATATTTCTAGAAGGTTTGGATTTTTAGAGAAATTTAAAGGGAAATTTAAAAACAATGTGGTGTAACTAATGTCCTGACCTTGATGATCTGGAGGTCAGTGAGCTGGCGTACGGAGTAGTCAGGTAAATAAATCCCAGTGGAGAGCTGCCCCACGCTGCCTCCGCTCAGTAGAGAGTCGGACTGGTTCAGACCACTGCTCCTGGAACTGCATCTCACACCTGAAAATCACATTTCATATTCTTTGTCAAATAATCAAATTATTAATAACAATAATTCAGATTCAGATTCAGATTACTTTATTTATCCCACCAGGGGCAATTCATTTGAGCAGCACGTAACATAAAAACACAGGGAATAAGTGATTTGACATGAAGGGGAGTTCCATACAAACATATGAACACGATACAACAATACAGCTCCAACATCAAAGTCCACATCCAGCTACAGAGAGTTCAGCAGTCTAGTACAAAAGATTTTAAATGACGATTGGTTCTACAATGTGGTGCAACATAACGTCGTCCTGATGGAAGCAGAGTGAACTCATCATTCAGAACATGATCAATAATGTAAAACTTTTCAAAAATATGTGTATCTGTGCCATAAATAGAAATACCCCTAGTCTTCTGTCATGTCTTTTGGACGCCATAAGTCGTATTGTAAATGCGGTGAATCTAGGCCAGTTACAGCTCACCAGGTTTTGTTTGCTCAACCCGTTTGTGCAATCAGCTGAGAGCGGTCTTCAGCAGCTGCAGCCTTGTGTTGTTTTGTGTTGTTATATTTATAAATATTCTCTTGCTTGGTTCAGTGATTGGTAGTGACTATATCCCTAATGAAGGACTCTGCTCTGGATACTTCTTAGCAGTATTGATATAATCCTGTGCAGGTCATGTCCTTCCACAGGGAAATACTCCACTTTAATTACTTCCCCCAAATACGGGTGCACTGGCAGAATGAGACTACCCAGGCTCTGCAGCACACACTGTATGAATCGCCTGTTCCTTTATACTTTCCTTATTTCCACAATCAAAGTCCTTATGTATTTTGTACACTTACTAAAAGCCAATGGAGGAATAAGTGCAGGCATCCCATAGTATGAAAAAGCGCCGTTTTCAAAGCGAAGAGCCTCTTTTCCGATTTCTACTTCCACTCGCCCCTGTAACATCAATAAAGTCATTAGCATGCACACCCAGAACACTGAATGGATTAGTCACATCCAACACACTCCTACACAGAGAATCAGCAGCCTCTAGAAATGACCCACTGTCGATGTTGTTTACCTGGAGAATGAGGACAAAGTAGTCCACGGGCTTGTTCCGCTGGTAAAGGTAGTGCTGAGGGCCGTGCTTATTCTTGGGGTCAAACTTGAGTTCCTGAATGACGCAGGGATGTTTCAGGAGCCGCAACAAGATTTTCTCTGACAAGTGACAAAGCCGGAAGGGTTCCACCTCTGAGCGACGCACACACAGACAGAGAGCAGTATGAGGACAAGCTTTAATGTCTTGTTTAAACACGTATCATCTGTGCTGCTACCTGCTCTGCAAAAAATACTTAAAATGACTTTTTTGAGCTTATGGTGAGAACTGTTGTTGATATTAACGTTTAATATCTGGTAAATGATTGCTTTTGGTTGAAATAAAAATGGGCTGTGGAGAACTTTTTGTCAGGAAAAAAAAACAAGTTCGGTAATTTTGCATGAAAGCGACTCACCTGTGGCCAAGAAGCGATGTGTGGCGAGGAGCAGCTGAGGAGAGATCTTGACCTTCATTTCATTCTCTGACAATTTGAAAATGGAGAAATCCTGATTTTTTCTCTCGTGGTTGGAAACTCTTCTTTTGTTTCTGTTGTCAGCTGGGTGAAGGAAGAAAAAATGTCATCTAAATACACAAGCGGCAATGAATGGCCCTACGTGGCTCTTGGTGTCTAAGTGCAAAGTTCGAATGGCAGTAATGACTTTTCTCTGTCATTTTTTAAATTTTCATTTATAACCAAAAATAAAATCACCAGAACCACAACTACATTTAATCATTAATTTAAAGCTCTTGAACTGACAAATATCACTGTGGCGTTCTTGGTGAATTCACTCCAAACTTTTATGAGGTTGAGGTTGTAGAAAATATGCAAACCCCATAGGGATGAAGAAAACATGAGCAGGTGCACATTATCACGATATCTGATGCTGGAACATTTTAGAATATGACCTCATTTAACAGTGTGTGCAGCTTTTGGTTTGGACTAAAAGTGAATTATTGCAAATTGAGTAAATGTACGGAACATTGAGTCATCGAGGAAGAATGCTTTGAATCTACAAAGCAAACAAGAAACACGTCACAGAACTATGTGCTGACTGTAAGTTTACTTACTCTCACTGTTTGAAGCTAAATCAGTCCTGAATCTAGAACCCAATATTTCCCTCAATGTGGGCCTCCCAGAGGTTCCGCACTTTTTCCCTTGATATTCTGGAGTTTTTCCTTTCCAAAGTATGAGGGTCCAAGGACAGTTGAGATCCAGGACACTCGACATTCAACATTTATGAACATCTATTAACATTATTTATGGGCATTGGCCATCCACCCCTGAAAGCTCTGTGTTTTTATCGTTGTATTTCCTGTGTTTGAACTGTTTGATTCTCTGATCTGTGTTGGTGAATCAACAGCTTTGTAAAGAAAAGAATATGATAGATATAAAGATATAAAGATTGTTACATACAGTGCCTTGCGAAAGTATTCGGCCCCCTTGAACCTTTCAGCATTTCGCCACATTTCAGGCTCCAAACATAAAGATATAAAAATTAAATTTTTATCATGAATCAACAACAAGTGGGACACAATCGTGAAGTGGAACGAAATGTATTGGATAATTTAAACTTTTTTAACAAATAAAAAACTGAAAAGTGGGGCGTGCAATATTATTCGGCCCCTTTACTTTCAGTGCAGCAAACTCACTCCAGAAGTTCAGTGAGGATCTTTGAATGATCCAATGTTGTCCTAAATGACTGATGATGATAAATAGAATGCACCTGTGTGTAATCAAGTCTCCGTATAAATGCACCTGCTCTTTGATAGTCTCAGGGTTCTGTTTAAAGCGCAGAGAGAACCATGAAGACAAAGGAACACACCAGGCAGGTCCGAGATACTGTTGTGGAGAAGTTTAAAGCCGGATTTGGATACAAAAAGATTTCCCAAGCTTTAAACATCTCAAGGAGCACTGTGCAAGCAATTATATTGAAATGGAAGGAGTGTCAGACCACTGCAAATCTACCAAGACCCGGCCGTCCCTCCAAACTTTTATCTCAAACAAGGAGAAGACTGATCAGAGATGCAGCCAAGAGGCCCATGATCACTCTGGATGAACTGCAGATAACTACAGCTGAGGTGGGAGAGTCTGTCCATAGGACAACAATCAGTCGTGCACTACACAAATCTGGCCTTTATGGAAGAGTGGCAAGAAGAAAGCCATTTCTCAAAGATATCCATAAAAAGTCTTGTTTAAAGTTTGCCACAAGCCACCTGGGAGACACACCAAACATGTGGAAGAAGGTGCTCTGGTCAGATGAAACCAAAATCTAACTTTTTGGCCACAATGCAAAATGATATGTTTGGCTTAAAAGCAACACAGCTCATCCCCCTGAACACACCATCCCCACTGTCAAACATGGTGGTGGCAGCATCATGGTTTGGGCCTGCTTTTCTTCAGCAGGGACAGGGAAGATGGCTAAAATTGATGGGAAGATGGATGGAGCCAAATACAGGACCATTCTGGAAGAAAACCTGTTGGAGTCTGCAAAAGAGCTGAGACTGGGACGGAGATTTATCTTCCAACAGGACAATGATCCAAAACATAAAGCCAAATCTACAATGGAATGGTTCACAAATAGACGTATCCAGGTGTTAGAATGGCCAAGTCAAAGTCCAGACCTGAATCCAATCGAGAATCTGTGGAAAGAGCTGAAGACTGCTGTTCACAAACACTCTCCATCCAACCTCACTGAGCTCGAGTTGTTTTGCAAGGAAGAATGTGCAAAACTGATAGAGACATACCCCAAGCGACTTGCAGCTGTAATTGCAGCAAAAGGTGGCACTACAAAGTATTAGTGGAAGGGAGCCGAATAATATTGCACGCCCCACTTTTCAGTTTTTTATTTGTTAAAAAAGTTTAAATTATCCAATAAATTTCGTTCCACTTCACAATTGTGTCCCACTTCTTGTTGATTCTTGATTTTTTTTTTAATTTTTATATCTTTATGTTTGAAGCCTGAAATGTGGCGAAATGTTGAAAGGTTCAAGGGGGCCGAATACTGTAAGTACACCTAGTGCGGCATCTGTTGATTGCTTTTGATAAATCAATTATTTCATGAACTTAAATGGATAATATGTTATATATAATGTAGGATTAAAAAGGCACGATTCTATAAAACAAACTGTCACCAATTTTAGTCATTGACTAAATGAATGAATACAATTCAAAGTTATTGTGTAAAGATCTGTTATTTCAGTTCAGCGATGGGTATATTCAATACTTTTGGATCAGTAAAATGGCATTTTTGACTTCAGTATTTAACATTTAGCAATTAACCCACTATGATGGTTAAGGTTATAACGTTATATTGTGTTTAAACATGCTTTTTGACTTACTATACAGATCTGTCTCGTCCACAATCTCAGACTTGATGATTTCCTCTATAACGTCTTCCAGAGTGACGATGCCCATGACTTCATAGAAGGGGTCTCCCTCTCCCTCACTGTTGACCCTCTGCACCACCGCCAGGTGAGACTTCCCTGCATTGGATAGTTTCCTTAGTTTCTGTTTGATGGTACAGTACGAAAACAAAATCTGTTCAGCTGCCACAGGCAATGTGAGAACTATTTCTGTCTCCCCAAATAACAACTTGTTCTGTTTTTTAAAGATTTTGTAAATACACTTTGACATCTTTGATGCCTTGGTCCTTATATAAACAGTATGATTGCACAATCAGTCTTGCCTGCATGTTGGCTGCAGCCTTGCTGCTGCCACTCAAGAGCAAACGCACAACCCAACCTACAACACAATATGAGCGCACAAATCGCAGAGCTATGTGACAAGCCCTGCAGATCCCCCAACAGCAACTGCACTCAGTTGATAAACCAAATGAGACAAGCTGTCTGCACACATTCATACACCGCAGACAACCTACAACCTCTCAATCATGGACTCATTATTGCACAGAGATACAAGCTCATTTGAGTCAAAGAGTGAATTGGATCATGCTGCTTAGTACGGGCCACAGAATGTGCTGATTACTGTTGAGCTTGGCACTTTGAAACCTGTGGTGTAAATGTGACAGGCTGAGTGTGTGCTGGGAGACTGGTTTGTTTGCCTGTCCAAAGAGGTAAGGTGAGTCAGCTGCAGATTTGCCCCTCGTGCTGATTTGACTGGGCACAAAATTACATCATTCATGGGTTACATAATCCTTGTGTAAAAGCACAGCCACACATACTTGGCCCACACAGACACTTGTGCTAGAGGGGTAAACTGAGTCTAGCACGGATGTCCATTTTAAAAATGTTTCTGCTCCATCGGTTTGGCTGCTACAGACTCTAATCTCCATGTGCTGTTATGGAAGTACTAAGCATGAGTTGGTTTATGCATTTGGTGTTTCTGCCTGTTCTGTGAGCTTATGATTTGTCAAAAAACCCACCATGAATTCATTCTATGTCATGCCACAAAGATTTGAGGAAACGTATTTTTTCCATAATAGATGGTTGCTTCTGTCTAATGGTGTAGTTGAGAACCTTTGCCAAGACTATACATGTTTGGATCTAATTATAAAACATGTGTTTCTCCTAATATGTTCTCACTTGAGACCTTTCGCTCACCCCTGCCCTTCAGGCCACAGTCAGAGTCCTCACAGCCAGCCTTCCTGGACCACAGGAGCCTTTAATCCAGAAGAGCATAGTAGGAGGAAGGCGAGGAGGGAGGCAAAGGTTGTAGTTGCATTTTTAATGGCCTCTGCCGGCTTGCACTGCTTCAAAGTCTCAGTTGGATAACAATTATATGCAACCATTCATTTGAAAGGTGACACACAGCTGAACCTTAAACTATTCTACAGAGGGAGGAATGGGCAGTGCTGTCATCATCAGCATCATCATCTTCAGACGAGGAACTTTCAGTGTAAATTGTTCAATCTTTCCCTGACCTCGCTGACCCTGGTCTGCCCTTTACATGTCCTGTGTGAACAGCTGTGGCTCACTCTGACCCCAGTCCAACTCATCTTTGTCAATGAAACAGATTTACCCCATAATCCCCACAACATGAGCCAATGTCAATGAAATGCGTTGCTTACATAATCACTTGAGAAGCACCTCATATGGCTCCAGTTACCCTTCAGACTGACAACATACTGTTTAAAATATACAAGAATGTCAGCATGGCTAGCTTTTTTACACACCCATTTTGGTCCAGGAGCCATAGCTTTCACATAAGTTTAACACTACCACCTTTCACATATGGTTCTCCGCAGCTGAAGGGATCAAAGAGCTTTCCTGTGACCCATAGGATGTATACCTCTGCAGATGTCTCCTAAGAGTGGGTTTTAGAGAACATTACTTCAAAGGATCCTTGACTTTTGTGTGTCAGTAAAGCTGTAGAGTGTATAGCTGATGATGGACTATGTGAACAAAAAACTTAAGACACACCTCCTGGATGCTGAACTCTCAAAGAAAAATGTTAGTATGCCTTTACCTCTTTTAAACTGCTCCAGCATCACATCCAGCTTGGTATCATTAAAAACATAGTGCATAGGGTGTTTGTAAAATTGAGTGATGGTTTTTAGAGGAGTGCAATCATCTGGATCCACAAAGGCTAAGTCTTTGACAAAGAGGATGTCTACGATGTTAGATCTTTCGTTTTCATACACAGGGATCCTCGTGAAGCCACTCTGCATTATGTCTGACATAGAGCAGAAATCCAGCACTGCATCTGAAGACATCATGTAGCAGTCGGACAGAGGCGTCAGGACGTCCTCCACGGTCTTAGTCCTGAGTTCCAGTGCTCCTTGGATGATGTTGAGTTCCTCTTTGACCAGGTCGTGGTATGGATCAGTTACACGCAGCATCGCCACTAATTTCTCCCTGGTATAGAAACTGCTGATCTCTTGACGCAGCATGATGTCAAGGATTTTGGACACAGGATACGCGATGGGAAGGAACACGAGCATGAGGAACCGCGTGGCGCACAGAGTCTTAGAGGCAATGGCAAGACTGTGCCTGGACGCAACAGAGTGAGGTAAAATCTCCCCAATAAAAAATATGCCCAGTGTGCAAAACGCAGTGGAGAGTGCGGTCATGCCGAGGATCTGGCACATCCAAACTACAAAACATGTGTTGGTGAGCACGTTCCCTAGCACAACAGTGCACAGGATGTAGTTCCCGTGTTTACGGACAGACTCGATCTTCCGCGCATACTTCTGCTCCTTCTCTGTACCACTGTTCTGCAGCACACGCAGCTCCACGGGATCCAGGGCCAGCATGCTGATGTTCAGCCCACTGCAGAGCGCCGACAGTCCCAGCAGCAGCACTGACACTCCAGCCTGCAGCCACACGTCTGCCCCCTGCGTTTTCTCCTCTACTGCTAGCCAGAAGTCCCGCGTACTCAAGTGCTCCCACCTGACCCCGTCAAAAGCGCACATGGAGTAGTACTTGACCACTTCCCCTCTGCGCAAGTCTTTGGCGAGCAGCTCCACCAGCACAGAGTTGTGGCTGAGAGTGGATTTGAAGGAGCCCAGCAGCTCTATGTCCGAGCTGCGGGAGCTCTCGTCGTCGCACGGGTTTCCTCCAGGGTGCCCCTTTTCCTGCCCTCCATCCTCGACTGGTTCTTCAATGAACGCGATCCACGGAGCAGGAGAACTCCTATTCTCCTTGTGCTGCTGCTCTGTGAGTGCAGACGGGGAGAAGTAAACCCTAAGCATGAAGCGCGTCCCCTCTGTGGCTCTCAGCATCCCGTCCTTCAGTGACAGCTCTCCGCTCTGCGTGTCCTCTGGCCGGACGCCCAGCAGCGCTGCTGTCCGGTCCGGCAAAGTGGACAGGGTGACGGTCAGGAGGAGGACGTGGAGTCGGGGCTGGTGCAGGATGCTGCAGAGAACCTCCGCAGCATCCGCAGCCATCGTGCAGAGTACCAGTGAAGGACGTGGGGGTAGTGGTCACGTGGTAAAGTGCAGACGGGCCGGATGGAGAGGCAGTGTGGCCATGTCCCTGAAGATGCTCAGAGTGGGGACTGTGGGAGATGATGCGAAGTGAGTAACACTGCCCTTAAATAAACGTGACACCCTATGACGTATGGTCGCGTTATCATTCAGTAATGTCTAAATATAGAATGATATATTTTCATCGTTTACCCGGTACTAACTGCAAACAAGGAGCAACATGCGGGGAAAGTGAAAAGGTCAGGTTCACATTGAGGGTTTATGAGATCAAAGTTTGTCCGTGTAAAGGGTGTCTCTGTATCATTGGTGGTAATTGCCAAATGTCTTGCCCACTATGAGGCCAGCAGAGGGCAGCATTGTTGCCTTTTCAAAATAGGGTTTCTTCTGTGTAAAAATCCTCTAGAAACAAATGTTTAAAAAAAAAAAAATAGCAGTTTAAACCTAAACACGCACAGGTATCTCATTAAGGAAACATTGCATCGTTAAGAGGTTATAATCAAAATTAATAGACTATAAAACGATCTTTAGAATTATTCGTGTTTCTAAACAGTCCACTGGCAGCTTGCAAAGCCTTTTTGGTTACATATGTACAGTTTCAACACTTTACTACGGGGTGCTATGATCAGAGAAATCCGCACAATGATCTTATGACATACTGTTATGGACAGACGAGCCAGTGGTCACTGGGCCGTGACCCGAAGATGTAAGCAGCACAGATTTATTGAGCTGTGCGTTAAGTAAAACAACTATTTATCTCATGCTTCAGAGGTATTTACTAAAATATCCATCTTCTATAGACAGTAAATAAATGAGAAACTGTTTGGTTAAAAAAAAAAATATATATATACATTTTGGAAGATTATAATAAAGTTATTTTAAAGGATTACATGACCTGTCCCACACTTCCTGAGTTCATACCTCCTCACATCACCTTGGGCGTGCAGCCTCCTCCCCACCTCGACTGCTCATGGAGAGGCTGTCCGGGTCTGGAGATTGGGGCGTGCGCTCTGAGCGCAGCTGTGCGGCGTCGGGAGGGCGGGGGGCAGTGGGAGAGACAGGGAGACGGATCCTGATCGATGTTTCTCTGATCTGAAGTTACTTCGTGGAGAGGTTTGTTATCTTTAAAACCTCTTTGCGCACGCCCTTCAGCACTCACAGCGTAACAATGCTCGGCGTCAGAACGCACGCGTGTGCATCCCTGTGGATAGCATCTCTGGCTTTAGTGGTGTCTTCATCATACTCACCCTCGGCGTATCAGAAACCCGGCTTCAGCGTGAGAAGACCCAGCTTCATGGAGAGGACACTGGTTCTCCTGGACGTCAATACGCGAAGTCCCATCAGAGTTCTTAACGACAACTTCCTCTCACTGCAGCTGGACCCCTCCATTATAAAAGACGGATGGTTGGACTTTCTGAGGTACCAACGCATTTTGGCACAAGACACCTCTATCGTGAGATTCTTCATCATTTCATGTAGCCACTTAAACCATGCGACAACAGGCAGAAGAGGGATGGAATAGGCCTAAAGTGACTACTGACTGATCCTGTCTGCTTTGTGGCCTCTGACAGTCAACGGAGATGACCTTAAATGCCACAGTTTTTTCAGGAATATTCTCTATGCGCAGTTTTTACAATAATTTAAAATGTGTGTGTATATATATCATATATATATATATATATATATATATATATATATATATATATATATATATATATAATCTACATACACACACACAGGCGAGTAATTGGTGTGTTCGTCAATGGTTTTACGTATATAAACAGATATACAGATATATATATATATAGATATATATGTATATAGACAACGGTGTGTGTGTGTGGGTGTGGTTGATGTGTTAGTGTGTGTGTGTGTGTGTGTGTGTGTGTGTGTGTGTGTGTGTGTGTGTGTGTGTGTGTGTGTGTGTGCGTGTAGTAAGTTTTTTCTTTGAAAGCACTGTTTTTCAATGATAACTATATTGTAGTGCTACTGTTATAACGTATGATAAGGTGATAGCTGTATAGCTTCATAAGTGTATAGAGGTGCTTTTTCCATCTTGCATCACTCTTACATTCTAATCCTACAATTGTGTTTGCCAACGGTGTCCAATGTAAGGTTTGGATTTAAAAACCCCAAAATTATAATTGAAATAAATATATTATTTTTGGAAATAATATGGAACAATTAGCCACACATATTGCTATGATGTTATTGACAATAATAATTATTTGTCTTCAAGGTAATGCTAGGCGTGCAAAAGCGAAAAGAAGTCGCAGTAGTTTGGTGCACAGGCCTGTTGTCACGTAGTACTTTAAAACTTGATGTTTAAAAGGAACATTTAAAGGATAGCTAATCGAAAGTTGGAAATTGTTAAAAGACCACCCTGCCACTGTGGAATCGACTGTGTTCTAATAAATAAAAAGCTTGAGGGTGGATTATCTCACCCGCAGCTCGAAGCGGCTGGTGACGCTGGCGCGTGGCCTGGCTCCTGCGTACCTGCGCTTTGGGGGAAAGAGGACCGACTTCCTCCACTTCAACAACCACAAGAACCTGGCCAAGTTCAGAGGACCGGGGCCTGACTACTACCTGAAAAACTATGAGGACGGTTAGTCTCTCCTTGAGCACAAACTAACACTTTGAGAGCAGCACATTTACACACGGCTAGCTGCGGCTAATACAAAGGCCTGCGTTTACGCACACGCATTGGCCAAAGGATTACTATTCATTACTGCAGCGTTTGTGTAAATATATGTATATGTTTATGTTTGTCTCTTTTAGACATAGTGCGCAGTGACATCGCGCTGGATAAACAGAATGGCTGTAAGGTGGCCAACCACCCGGACATTATGCTGGAGCTGCAGAGAGAGAAGGCAGCCAGCACTCAGCTTGTGCTGCTGAAAGAACAGCTCTCCAACATCTACAGCAACATTACAATAACAGGTAGGAGATCACATGCACTTCCACAGCATTCAACTACATATTATGTATTTATTAGCCCGTTTGGAAAACCACATTTTCTATGGTGGTAAGTAAAATAGGCCAGACCAGTGTTACATATGCAAACACACAAGTTCAAAGCATGCCAATGTAAACCATCAGCTTTCAGAATGACAAATGTAATTTGTAGAAGAGGAATGTGGGGATGGATAGTGGGGTGCTGCAGTCCAGACTGGTAAACAGAGCATGGACATGTTCTGGTTTACAGTTAACTCAGCCCGACCACAAAGAGAAGTCTGGAGACTGATTTTGGGTGGCCTGTTTCTTATCTGTTTATGTGACGGATGTCTGGGAAATATAGCACATGAAGAAGCATGAGCGATTAAGAAATGGCACTTTATGTGTTAAATAATCAGTTCTTATGCCAAATCACACATTTAATGGAACAGTAATCACGCTGTAAAATGTTAACCAACACTGGGATCCTGAAGCCGAAACTTAATCTCCAGAATCAAAAAAATGTCATGTATGTCTTTGTGAAGGCATTAATAATTTCAGACACATCCAAGGCCACCTCATGTGAACCCATCTGGTATAAGTCATCATTTCACAAAGTGCTGTTTGTAATACCTTGCCATTTCAGCCAAATGACAGCGGTTACAATATGAATGAGACGGCGAGAACACACATTAGCTCCGTATTATGATATTGTCTCAAGTGCAGCCTTCAAAACACAGCCTTCTCACATCTGTTAAAGAAGACAAATACAGTTAAGGCCCGTGTGAAGCCACAGGGGTCAGTCCACAAGTTCAGATTTTGATTTAATAATAGTGTTTTATCGAAATTGTTCATAAAAATAAGAAAAATTACAATATATCTTGTTTTATTAGTTTGGAACTGAGGTAGGCGAAATGGCTTTAGGAATAAAGGCTCTCGCACACTGTCTCACTCTTCATGATTTATTTATTAGAAAAACAACCTTTTGGTTACTTTAACCTTCTTCAGACATATTGATTGTTGGCATTATGACAAAATAAATAATATCCCATTACTTTTGGCACCAGATCACAATCTGTGTATTTTTTGTGCAGTAACTCTTCTTTGGGTTAGTAAATAGTAAATAAAGTCAAATTGATTTTTTGGAGCGTTTACTGGTATTTAGTGTAGTGCGGTGTGTTTGTGTGTGTGTGTGTGTGGGTGCGTGTGTGTGTGTGTTTGTGTGTGTGTGTGTGTGTGTGTGTGTTTGTGTGTTTGTGTGTGGTGGTGGTGGTGGTCAGAGGGGGCCGTGGCACACAGTAGTAGCCTCGCTTATGGCGTCCCTGGCTAAAGCTGTTGTTTACTGCCATGTGAGGCAGAAATGCACGATATAAAATGTATGCACTATAATAATAATAATAATTCTACAAATAATGACAATTATGATGAAGATGATTATAATTAAAATGTAATATAAGTAATGGCTTGTGCTATTGTGTACTTGGGAAATGCAGTTGTACTCCTGCATCTAAGCGACTTAACTATGATCTCCCACATTTAGACATAAACAATGTCAATTTAAATTAAGAATGATCCCAAATTGGCTTTTAGCTTTCTTGACATTCGACCCGTGGTTTTAACTTGTCCAATCTCACACCTTTACTCTGCTATGACTTGGATACGTCTTATCACCATCTTCCACAAAGTCAGTATGAATGTTGTCATAGTGTGGATCTGAAGTTCTGATCTCAGCGTATTTTGTGTAAACCGAAGAAGGCCTCTGAGTGACTGGGCAGGGCACACGGGCACTGGGGAGGTGTTTAAATATGGTCTGGGAACAATCAGCTCTGTCCACACTGTGTGTCTGTGCACAGCTATTACTATGTGAGTGAGAAAGCGTCTTTTCCATCATTTTGCACTCACCACTGTCTGACCTTGGACCTCGCCTTGTTAGAGCTATCAATAATGGGGCCAGTGGCACCCAGAGCGAGAGCGAGAACACGCCTCATCCACAGATCAGGCCGTCTTCTGCGTCCTCTGCATTTGTGAACGACTGTGACTGACTGTGATCAGCAATATCTTCCCTATTTTCTCTCTTACATTTCACAAGCTGAGAATATAGATTTTACCATGTCATTTGATTGATTTTATTTTAGTATATGAGAAAAAAAATAGTCATTGGAGGACTTTGATCAAGAAAACCTAACCAGTAAAGTAAATACGCAAATCATCTTTATGTATTTAGTGCATTTTACAACCCAACGTGCTTTACAGTTTTGGTGTAATTAAATAAGGCTGGACAAACTAAATAAAGCTCTAATTGTAATCACCATAATCACAATAATCAGAATCTGATTGTAACCAAATATTTTGTTGATTTTAAAATACAAATTAACCCAATATGGTCAATATCTACTAAAATACTATTTCAAAGTTGTATTTATATTATGAAGAGGAAAAACATCTTAAGATATTTCATTAAATTTTAACACAGTAGCAGGAATGAATACAAGATCGTAACACTATAGTAAGTTATTGTTATTTTTTACTAGATTTTTTATGATCTTGATTTTCATTGGCAGAGGGGTAAACATTACAATATGATATTTTCATTTTGAATTATTTCTACATCTTGTGTCCTCAGAGAATGGTTCACATGTGCTAATGATATTTGTTATTTTAAATTCAAAATACAATGGACACGATGTCCATAATATTTATATTTATGATTATTTATGACAATAGGCAGAATTCACAAACAAAGAAAATAGCACCACACATTTCTTTTTAGTAAAATCAGATACAAAAATAAATAGTCATACGTAATACACAGAGTTACATAGAGTTTTACTCTCTCTAGCTAAACCCCAGTTGGTGGATTACATCAGTAATCAGTGCCCAAGAGCTTCAAGTGTCACAGACAGGTAGATTCTGGCAACTATAAGTGTGATTGTAATTCTGTTGTTGGTATTGGAGCACTAAGAGTGAACTTTACAGGCTGTGTCTTTCATAATATTTTAGTACATTTTTAATACTATGCATAAAAGTGAAAATGGTTTGGCTTGCAGAAGGGAAAGTGTAGTTGACATGTCTGTTGTGCGTTCTCAGATGTGCTGTGAGTCAGATGAATGTTTAGAGTGTGTAATGACTTGTTGGGCTTAAATAAACACGTGTGAGAGACAGAGACACTAATACCTTCGTCCTGAGTCTTTGAACTCTGTCGGTGCAGCGCTCACAGCCAGACGCCTCTCAGCGGGCGAAACCTGAGAGCAGCCGCGGTGCAGGCCGAGCAGCAGTCTATACTATTGTAGGCAAATCTATGTCCACACCGCTAAACCGTGTAGAAACAACCGGAATGTTTTGGTTATTTTATAGATATTATACGATTCACTAATATATATATATATATATATATATATATATATATATATATATGTTTATATATATATATATCACTTTCTGAGTCTTAAGTGGATGGGTTATGATTTGTGGTGACGGCAGTTTGATCTCTTAAAAATGATGAGAATGTTGAAAATGTTCCAGGAGACATTCCGTATTTGTAAATGATTATGTCGGTTGTGCTCAGTTTATTTGATGGAATTATTCTAGTGTTGTTTATAATTCCCAAACCTTTGATATAGAAGTTAAAAGTGATGTGGTGCTCCTGCAGTAAATCACACATTCACTTAGATTCACATGGAAACCTGGACCTGGCGAGCTGGGTGTTGCATCTCATTCTAAAAAAACAGATTTATGAGTCTCTTTCCCTCAGTTTATTATTCTATTGTCATTCTGATTGACAGCTGAAAAATCACCATCTTGTTTTGTGGAAGTCCATATCAATATTTTTGGATTTATTATCCTATGGTCTTTTTGGCCTGATTGGATTTCACCACATGCTCACGCAGTTCCAGCTGTCAGTCCAATTTGTCAGAATGTATAATACTTATTCATATCACAGTTCCTGCTAAAAATAGTTAACAAAATCAGTTATTGTTTACTTATTACTGTTACTACCTAACTTTGAAACCACAACAAATGAACTGTGTAATCTCAAATAATCGGTTCTATCGCCAGTTTTCACATGAATATATTTTTTGCTTTTGTCACATCTTTAAAGAACCAGCCCTCACTCAGCCAATCAGAGCTCAGTATGGAAAAGAAGGCGTTTGGATGTTGTGATCTGATTGGTTCAAAGATTGCACTAAATGGTCTTAACCCTTTAATGGTTTCCTCAACGTTTTGGATCACGTTTTGAGTCAGTATATCTACTTGAAGCTGAAATCTACCTCATTGGTTGCCTGGCCTGCCAGACACTCCTCCTTTCTGTTCAAAAGAAGAACCGTCTGGACACCTCTTCCTAGCCTATCATTTCACGATTTTACCCACATCGGTCCAATCACGCACCGAGAGGCGGGACTTCCTTTCACCTTTGAGTTGCTAATAACTCCTCGTATCTTTAAGTTTTTGTTACAAAATCGACAGCAGTCGTTTACATTTGCACTAGCTGACATGCCGCCATCCCTTGTTTTGTGTTTACTGAAACGGCTTGGGTGCCGCTAGTTGCTGCGTCATATCCTGTGTGCATCTAATTGGTTGATGCAGTCTGTCAACCACGCCCACCGGGAATTCGCTGAGATCAAGCTCGTTCCCAGACTATATGTCTTTGAAAAAGCATATCGTTTGGCAGGCCAGGCAACCTCATTGGGGCATCTCTAGCACTTGGTTTTAGAGCAGAGCAGGGTTAGGGTTAAATAAAACAACGTTACAACTAATTATTTGCGTTATTACTGCTCCTACATCTGAAAAAAATCAAAAAAGTATATCACATTTTTTTCTTCAAGGTGTGAACATTAAAGGGTTAAACAAGGGACAGACATGATGTATTGATTAAACAACAAAAGTTAGGTACTCCAGCTTTAATATCTTATACAGTGACATACAGTACATTTTGGAATCTTGAGCCATAAACAGTGATGTCAGGAGTAAAGTCGAGTGTCAGCGTGACCAATTCTATATTTCCACCT